CAGTTTACGCATACACACACAGTTTACGCATACACACACACAGTTTACGCATACACACACAGTTTACGCATACACACACAGTTTACGCATACACACACAGTTTACGCAAACACACACAGTTTACGCATACACACACAGTTTACGCAAACACACACAGTTTACGCATACACATACAGTTTACGCATACACACACAGTTTACGCATACACACACAGTTTACGCATACACACCCAGTTTACGCAAACACACACAGTTTACGCATACACACACAGTTTACGCATACACACACAGTTTACGCAAACACACACACAGTTTACGCATACACACACAGTTTACGCATACACACACAGTTTACGCATACACATACACGTACACAAGTGCATACTTACAGCTCGCATGGTTGCCTGAATCCGTTCTTCCGTGACTTTTGCGATCTCTCCACGGACCTTATCGTTGCAGTTTACCTGCACACGACCAAAGAAGAGTAAAGCCTTGGTCTTGCAGCGCATGACATCGGAAGAGTTTCTCCCCTAGCAGACTGCGCCAAGGGATGCCCCCTCTTCACTTCCCACCCTCATCCCTCTGCGTTTCGACGTACAACAAGCGCTCTGCCTTGCAGCTTGAGGCCAGCAAGGCACGCAATGCACTTGGCTGCTCCGAGAGGATCTGCAAACTCGCAGAAACCAAAAGCCGCCAGCTGTCCAGACACCGGATCGCTCTGCCTGTTCCATCGCAGCACGCGCCCGAATTCCTGAAGCGAGCAGCATATACACACACGCGAATACACAAAATTACGCAAAATAGACAAAAAAATACATGAAAAAAGGCGAAAAATTCACACACAGGACGCCGTAAAACGATAGGCAGCCATTGCCGAAAACAAGAGGAAAAACGCCCGTTCAAGCCTTCTCACCCCCCTACTGGACCCCCCGGCAGCGGCGAAGCAACGCGAGCAGAAGCGCAGAGTGCAAGGAGCCGTCTTATAGAGCCAAGCCACGCTGCTCTGTCAGCAGCAGCACGAGTGCAGCAGCGGCTGCAGTCGTCAGTGCAAGCCACATATGGGCAGTAGCAGCGGCAAGAGCAGCTCATAGATACCGCGAGAAGATTCCTCATGAAATCGTTGTCTGCATGCTTCGTAATATTCCCAATGTATAGAGTGCTCGACCGCTGCTGCTGCTGTTGCTGTTGCTGCTGCGGCTGCTGTACAGACGGCATGGCTGGACGCTGCGGGGGCATCATGGCTGGCGGCATTCCATAAGCCATGGAGGTTCCCATAGGCGTTCCAATTGCTGTAAACGCAGAAAAACGGAAAAACAGAAAACAGAAACACGAGGGAGGATCTGATCGACGTCCAACACCGCGAGGCGGTGAGAGAGAGAGGGCTTGAGAGCGTGCAACGCAGGTCCAAACAAAATCGGAAAAGCACAAGGGCATGCTGTATGAATGCCGAATACGCAGCTGAGGGAGCGCGTTGCAGACGCGATATACATATACATGAATATATGTCTCGGCGTGCGTGAGGAATTGAAGGAACATGCATCTATGGCCAAAAAGGCGCGAGCAGTTCAAGAGCAGTCCCTTACGCGTCATGCCTGGCAGCTGATACGGGGGCATGCCGTAAGCCTGCACAGCACAGCACAGTGGCACCACCAGGAGGGCACCCTGACTGCACCAAAGAAGCCTCTCCTGAGAGTTTCCTTGCGAGAGCTGCTGCCTCGTCTCCCCACGCAGAGCATGGCCAGATCGCGAATCTCCCCCACAGCGGCAGCAGCAGTCTTGCAACCCCCAGAAACATCCCGCGCACAGCGAAGGAGAGACTGCGCCTCGCAAGTCGGCGGCGCTGCCTTTGGCCTTCCCAGCTTCGCCGCCCCCTGTAAGACACCGCTGCAGCTCTCCGAAGAAGGCTAGCCTACTCAGCGCTGCACTTCCGCCAACATCCATCGAGAAGGGGGAACCTCACCTGCGCAGCTGCCATCATCGCCGCAGCAGGCGCTAGGGGTCTCATGCCCATCAGACCGGGAGGCATTCCTCCGAAAGGCTGCATGTTGCTGCGCAGAGTATTGATTGCGCTGTGCTGAGAGTGCGCCTCTTCGCGGGGAACTGCTTCACAACCAGCCAAAAAACCGCCTCGGAGGCTTCGGCCTGCCGCTGCCTCTGTGTTTGCCCACGCTTGCAGCAGCTGCTGCTGCCACCGGATTAAGACTAACGGCTACACAATTTCCTCAAAGAAGCATCAGAAATCAGGGGTGGAAGCGCGTGGTGTTCCTGCTGCCCTCGCAAGCGCTGCAGCCGCAGCCACTGCCGCGCGGCTGCAAAAATGCGCATGCACCAACAACCCCACCCAGTCCCACTCACCCCGCTGCACGCCCCTTGCTTCTCTCAGTGCTTCACGCCTATTGATTCTGGAAATCGAGACGTTTTTGCAGCTGGAAAAACACCAAAACGAGCAGAAAGGAAGACGCGCACCCGCCGCAGCCGCCGCACGCCCTCCCGCTGCTGTACATACAGCTCATCCGTGTGTCGCCTTCAGCCGTGCTTCGACCAAAGAGCTGTATCTGAGGGTTTCTCGTGCGGCGAAACCTCCGAGGACGGTAAAAGCTGGCAGATACAGAGGCTGTATGCCCTACACTACGATGAGCAGCATCAGCAACAGCATCAACACTAACAACAGCATCAGCGTCAACATTAACAACAGCATCAACATTAACAACGACAGCATCGACAGCGCCAAAATCAACAACAGCAGCAGCAACAACATGCCTAGCTGGCGATTACAGCAGAAACTCCTGGCCCTCTACCCCTGCAGAGTAGGCGCCGGACTGAACCCCTTCGCAGCAGCAGCGTCAACACACAGCTCAGAACGCAGGATGCAGCCATGGCGTTCGCCGCTGCCAGCCTGAAGAGCAACGCAGAAGAGGTGCCCTTAATTGATCTGACTGCAGCTACTTCACCGCCTCGAAGGCGTAGAGGCTTCCCGTTTCATCACCTCAGCAAGGGCCCTACGACGAAAGACTCTGAGGCAGAAGGTGCTCTTGGTAGCAGCAGCAGCCCAAGCAGCAGCAGCAGCTCTCGCAGCCAAACGCGCACGCCATCCCGAGAACAGTCTGTACGACGCAAACAGTCCTTGGCAGCTGCGCGAAGCGGCGAAAATGGAGGCGTCACGCGCAAGGCAGGCGCTTCTGGAAGGCGCATGTCGAGCTCAAGAAGCGCGAAGAGCAAGGCGGAAGAAGCCGTCTCATCCGTCTCTGGGGGCAGTACGCCTCGTTCTCTGCGCAGTCTTCTGTCATCGGAGAGGAGCTGCAGCCGTCACAGCAGCAGTAAGAGTCTCCTTGAGGTCGGCAGCAGTCTGCTTGCAGCGAAAGTCGCAACGCAGTGTACAGACACTGGCTGCCCCTCTCCCCCCCGAACCCGACTGGCTCCCTCGCGCTTCAAATCGCAGCCTCAGACGCTCTCTCCTGCCACCTGCGGCAGTCGCCATGCAGACTGGGGGAGAAAAGAACATGGCAGCACCAGCTTTTCTTGGTATGAAGCCTCCAACCCTCGCTGGAGAGGCGACGCTCTGCCTTCGCTGCATCCTGCAGCGAAGGTGAATCAGCTGCTCGCTTTCTTGCAGGCTTACGCGGCAGCTCCTCCTCCTCCTGAGGCTGCTGCGAGGCTTTCTGAGACGCTTGCAGTCGAGCGGCGGCGAGCACAGCCTCCCCCCAGGAAGCAGCTGAAGACTTCAGCGCCGCCGGAGTCACAGTGCAGCGCCATGGCTGTCGATGGGGAGGCGCGAGGCGCCGTTCACAGCGGCGCTCCGCGCGCATGCATTTGTGTGTTGCAAGGACCTTCAGGAAGCGGCAAGAGGTGGCTACTGATGAGCCTCGCTGACTCCTTGGGGATGCGCGTAATAGAATTCGACGAGGCTGCTGCAGCTGCTGCAAGTGCAGCGTCTGCTGCTGACGGTTCTGCAGGCATACGCGGCAGCGGAGGCAGAGGCGGTCTACTGCGAGGCGAGCCTCTCTCCTTAGGCAAAGCCTATCTTTTGTTCCTTTCGCAGGCGCTCAAGCGAGTCGCGCTGCCGCTCGAAGCGCTTGCCAATAGCGAAGCAGGCAGCAGAAGCAGCAGCAGCAGTAAGACACGAAAGAACTGCGCGACTGCCGTGGTTCTGCTGCGGCAGCTGCCCGCTTCCTTGCTGCAGCACTCCTCCACGTTTGCACGGCAGCTGCAGCAGCTCCTGCAGCAGCAGCAGCAGCAGCAGGGAAGTGCGCAGCCGCTGGTGATCTGTCTCCGCGATGAATGGGAAGAGCAACGCCTTCTGCAGCAGATCTTGCCACCCCACCTCATAACACACCCTGGCGTCTGCCTCATTAAGCTGAGAGCTCCTACGGAGACTCAAGTATCGGCGCGTTTATGCTGTCTCGACGCTTTTTTTTTCGCATGCATGCCTCTCGCCTTTGCAGTCATGCTACAGGCACCCTCGACGCAGCCGTTCTTAGGCTGTGCTGCTGCTCCCTCTCGCATCGGCCGTAAACAAACCGCCTTCCCTAGCTGCATGTGCATGTATGTGTATGTGTATGTATGTGTATGTGAATGTGTATGTGAATGTGTATGTATTCGCGTTTTTCCAGCTCGAGAGTTGTGGAGAGTAGTCTCGCTGCTGCCTTTGTCTTGCGGCTCGCAGGTGCTTCGCTTGCTGCAGCAGCTTCAAGAGCAGACAGCAGCGGATCTGCGGGGAGAGGGCTTGGCGGCTGCCGCCGCGCGAGTTGCCGCAGCCGATGTAGCCGCCATTGCTGCCGCTAGCAAGGGAGACTTACGGCAAGCGCTAGGAAGCCTCAGACTTGCTGCCGTGACGCCTGCTGCTGCTTGTCTGGAGACGGGGGAAGCGCCTGCTGCGATCGCTGCGTGGCTTCGAACGACCACGCGCCGCGGGGAGTCGCGAGAGACACGTGCTGCGGACAGATCCTCAAGTGCAGCACGAAAAAAAACAGCAGCCACGGCAGCAGCGGCTGGCATCCTAGCTGCCGCCATGTGGTGCAAAGACGCGCAGCTCGCCTCTTTCCACGTCATCGGTAAGTTCCTCTATGGAAAGCGGCTCCTCACGAGCTGCACGACGGAGCAGGGAAGAAAGACACTTCAAACGCAGCCGCCGCAAACGCGATCTGCCGATGCCAACGCTTCCGCCAAAGGAGCCTTGCGAGCAGCAGGTGCAGCATGCGCTGCTGCAACGCAGGGGGGTTGGGGGGGGCGCATGCAATGGTCTCCCGTTGAGCGCGAGGCAGCCGCCGCTGCGGCTACACGCTGGCATGCAGCAGCAGGAAAAGCAGCAGCAGGAAAAGCAGCAGCAGGAAAAGCAGCTTTCCCCCCTCTCAGCGCCAGCAGCAACTGCAGGAGCAGCGTCTCAGCAGCATCAGCACGAACGACGCTCGAAGACTGCGCTGCAACGGATGCTGCTTTCTTGGATGAGGATCTAGAAGACTTGCTCGCAGCCGTAGATGAAGATGAACAGATGCACGAGGAGCAGCGGCAGATGGACTGTGTCTATGCGGCAGCTGCTGCTGCGATTGAGGCTGCGGCAGCTGCACCACTCTCGGCTGCTCATCTGCACGCTCCTGCGACGGCTGCCTCAAGGCTCCCTCTCCACTACAGATTGCGCGAAGGTCAGGAGGGGGTGCTGCTGCTTTTTGCTGCTCAACGAACAGGAAAGCGACTCTTCACAGACGCAGCAGCAGCAGTGCCTCTCCGTGTTGCCGCTGCTGTCGTACGCCCACCCCAGAACGAGGAGGGACGGCTGCAGCTCCTGCTATTGCTCCTGCTTCGCATTCGATAGTGCTGCTAAGTGCTGCATGCGTGGCGCTTGCGCATTCTGTGTTGATCCTTTTGCAGATGGATGGCTTTGGGCAGCGCAAGACTCGGTCAGAGGCTTCATGCCGAGTGGCGTCTCCCTCTTGCCTCCTCCTCCTCCTTCGTCTCCTTGCGCGTTCAGTTCAGCGGCTGCTGCTGCTGATCGGCAGCAGCAGCCACGCCAGCTCAGCTTCTCCATGCTGCAGCGGAAAGAAACGCGACCTCCCCTCTACTTTGTTCCCTCCGCAGTGCTGCAGCAGATGACGCTGGATCCGGAGACGTTCGTGCAGCTGCTGCATGCGAATTACCCGCCTTTCTTCGAAGACATCGAGGACGCTGCAGCTGCAGCTGCCGCCTTCGCTACCATGGATGCTGCTGCTGCCTTTTCTGTCGCTCACAGGTGGAGGAGACATGGAGGAGGCGATGCCGCGGCGACTGCTGATGAGCGTCTTGCTGCCACAGTAGCGGAATTCTGCGGAAGGGCCGTTTTAGACGCCAATCTACACCCCTGCTGCCCCTCTCGCAGCAGCAGCAGCAGCAGCAGCAGCGAAGGCTCCACGAAAGGCTGGGGCTTTGCCTTCTCAGGCAGTGTCACTGCAGATTTACGCAAACGGCAGCAAAAGGCTGGCACTGCTTGGCGCGCTTACACCACCAGCGTCCGCCTGCTGCTGCAGCAGCAACTCCAACAGCAACTCCGACCCGAAATGCAGCAGCAGCAGCAACAGCAACAACACGCAGAGACAGCAGCGGACTGTGCCTTTGTAGCTCGTGCTCGCGTATTCTGGGGGAGCACTCTCGATCCCTCGCCAGCAGTATTTGCTTCTCAAGTGCTTCCTTCCTTGTGCCTCCTCCTTACTCTGGGGACCTCTCCCGCGCGGCAGAGAGGGCCCCCCCCCCTCCTCCGGGGGGGGGGCCCCTCCAGGGGGCAGTGCAGTGGCCTTTGCTGCCTCACGCCAGATTGCAGTCGCGCACTGCTGCAGTGGGAAGCTCCTCTGCTGCATCTGTTGTCTCCGAGGGTCGGGGGCCCCTCGAACAAGAGGCCTATGGGGCCCCCCGACCACACGGACGACGGGGATGCCAGCAGTACCCTGGGGGGCCCCCCCCCCCCCGGGGAAGTACTCTGCGAGCGATGCCGCGCACTGGCGAAAGCTCCCTCCTTTCCGTGGAGAGGAGAGAGGCCTTTTCGAACCTCTTCCCAGGGAAGCCCCCTGGAAAGAGAGATGCACGACATAGAAGAAATAGAGGAGGTCTAGGCTCCTTCATCACGAAGGCAGCAGCAGGAAGGCCCTTAGAGGAAACCTTTCCGTGGAACGCAGATAAGGCTTTTGAGGACTGTAGGAGGGGTAGCAGAGGAAGAAACATCGCGAAAGAGGGAGGGAGAGAGGCAGGGAGGGGTAGCAGAGAAAGAAACAGCGCGAAAGAGGCAGGGAGGGGTAGCAGAGAAAGAACCAACGCGAAAGAGGGAGAGAGGGGTAGCAGAGAAAGAAACAACGCGAAAGAGGGAGGGAGGGATAGCAGAGGAAGAAACAACGCGAAAGAGGCAGGGAGGGATAGCAGAGAAAGAAACAACGCGAAAGAGGGAGAGAGGGGTAGCAGAGAAAGAACCAACGCGAAAAAGGGAGGGAGGGGGTAGCAGAGAAAGAAACAACGTGAAAGAGGGAGAGAGGGGTAGCAGAGAAAGAACCAACGCGAAAAAGGGAGGGAGGGGGTAGCAGAGAAAGTCTGGCAGAAAAAATGTTTCGGAAGGAACCACCCAACGTGACAGGGCGTTCTGATGCATGGATCACTCGTCACTGCAGTTTACGTCTACACCAGAAGGTGCACGGTTAGCTATAGCCTTCATAGGCAAAGTAGAAACGGCGGGCTCTCTGCGTCATGGTGACAGCCGTCAGCGATCTCCCTAGAATGAGAGCGTAGACAGGTGCTGTAAGGATCGCATGTAGGCTGCAAATTACGGTTATCGATGTAAGCCTTTCCCGCGTGCAGCTCAGAGTCTTCTTAACAAGCCTTGATCGCTGGATTATCTACACATGAGCGGTCTGCAGTTTTTATCTGGCCCTTGAAAAATCCTTATCGAGCGCGTGTCTACGGGTGGCTGGGGGCGCCATAAGGAGCCCACTAGAAACGCATGCGGCCGTAGGCTATCCTCTAGAGGCAATACGCCTCGCTGAAGTCGGTCCTTCGTCACCACTTTTCCTAAGGCGCAGACACGGCTGCGATGGCTCGCTCTCGCATGTCTTCAGTAACCTGCATAGTTTCACTCCGAGGCAGCAGCTGCAGCGCCATCTAGACACCGCGCGTGTTGCCGCATTAGCAGGCGAAGCTATGGCAGCCAACGCTCCGTAGCGGCCGCAAGCGTGTGTAGGATGTCTAGAGGGTGTGTCAGCAGCCAGCCTTGTTACTTCCGTGCAGCACTACACGTTTTTAACCCGCTGTCCAGCGAGCGAAAAAACTCAAATAAAGCTACAAGCGCACGCTCACGGTTTCTCCGTCGAGTGTGTTGAGCTTCGGAAGGCGCTTAAGCATGCTGCAGCGAATCTCTTCCTGCAGTGTCACGAGCATCAGCAGAGCGAGTTTCGGAAAGCAGCGCATACAAAAGGCTCCCGTCGCTACCTAGCTCTGCGTAGAAAAGGCTCTCCACCCTAATCCCTTACCGCTGTGGAGCAAGAGTCGTAGACTGGGTTCCCCTTAAAGAGCACATTCACCAGAGACGGAAGGGTTGCCTAGTACAGGAGAGCACAAACCGTAAGCCGTGCATTCTAAATCGCCGCGTAGAGTCATTCACAGGAATCTCTGTATCCAAGCTCTGCATGTGACTCCCTGTAGTAGGAGAGAAATGGAATTTGTGAAGTCCGCTGCACTCTACTGAGCTCTAATGCTCCTGTGGAGAGAGGAACGAGCGCGATTCTCAGGGTTACTCCAAGTGCTGCTGTGGCAATGCGTGCTTATATCCTGCCTGAGGCTTGTGCCTCTTTCACACCAGCTTTTCAATCTCTTCCCATGATTTGACCTTGTTGTTGGACATGAAAAGGACTTCGAGTTTCACGCACGGCTGCAAGCCGTCAAGCTTTTCAATTTGATTGTAGGAGAGCCACAGTTGCCGCAAGGTGGCTCCCACGTCCTCCAGTCCACTTATCTTTTTTATCACGTTCCGACCCAAAGACAAGATCTCTAGCTTTTCTGCAGCAATATTGGCAGTAGACGGGCCGGTTGGAAACAACGATGGGGGAAAGCGGTGCTTTGGAGGGGCAGCAGTCGCAGGAAAATAGGGCACAAAAGTACACGTCCACACGGATCTGAGGAAACCGTTCCCGCCAGTAACTGCCGGCAAATGGATCGCTAAGGCCTGAAGTATTTTTTTCTCAAAAAAGTCATGTGCGGTGCGTATCAAGCGCCCATCAGCGATTATGGCTATGGCCGGTGATGAAGCGTGGGGAGGAGGGCGTTTCAGGTTCTCTACTACCAAGATTGCGCTACATCAACCCATTTCTAGGAGGGCCATGTAGCTCCCACCGTTATGTTTGCGCCCTTAGTGGAGCACAGAATGTAACAAGCGGGGTAGAGGTAGAACTAGTGAAGCAGCAATTGTTCGCAAGGAACTCATATTCGCACTTAAGTTTGAGAGGTTGGAAATCTTCTCGATTGAATTGGTTGACAGCGACAACTTCTTGCACGCCACAAGGGCATTCAAAGAGGAATCCATCTTCTCCAAGGGAGGGAGCTGCGCTATGAGCTTCACCTCCTCAGCTTCAGCAGCCACCAGCCCTTCATCAGAAACGGTAAACTATAAGCTAGGTGCGTTTAGCCATTACCTTGCCTACTTGCCCATGAGGGAAGCGGCGATGAGACAGGGGGCCTCTCCCCTAAAGCCAGAAAGCTGAACGCTTTTTAGAGCCTTTCGTGCGTACACTTGCGTTTCTTGGCCTCTTTGTGCTGGTGGGGTCACTCACCTGTCTTCTCTTCAAAAAGCTGTATGGCCTTGAGACACGACGTGCCTCCTCCTGCCTTTGCCATTCTTCCCCGTTTATGGAGTACAGCAGAAGTTTTAAAACGTAAGCTAATTTACACCCCTTCTCCCTTTCATCTATTAGCTCTCTCCCTACGGAGCGAATTGTGTCTGGGCATGATCTCTGAAGGAGTGTCGGTGGCAAATGAAGCCCCACCTCCGAGGGAAAGATCCACGACGATCTTCAAAGGACCGAGAAATTGGTGCACTTAAAAGAGATTGGGTTGTCATACTTTGCAGTACATGGGTGGGGGTGTCACTCGACCCGTTCAAAAGCGGCCCCAGGGCTCCCAAGACAGATGTGGGCGGAAAAAAGACTGTCAACGCTCATCGAAATCGGTGTTTCAGATATCGAATGAGGCTAATTATTGCACAACCAATGTTTTAGGAAGGAAATCTGGGCAACGCTGCGGAAAGTCGCCGAAGCGCCACATGCAAAGAACGTTTGTCGGTACGGCGCAGGGCTTGGAGGGGCTCTTCTTCGAATCAGGTGTGGGAGTTTAAATGGTTGACTGCGTCTGTTGCTGACGCCTTTGTACATTCGAGTTACGTTCAGCTTAACTCATTGCTTTTTCCGCGCGAATATGAGAAGCATCTACCGACCCCAGACACGGCGGTTTGTCCGAGTGGTTAAGGAGTTGGACTTGAAATCCAATGGGCTCTGCCCGCGCAGGTTCGAGCCCTGCAGCCGTCGTCTGACCCATGCGACCTCCTTGTTATTGGTTTTTCCTTACTTTATTCTTATGAATTGATTTCTACACACCAATTATTGACTTCTCAGAGGTAGCCTTGTGAACACGCATATTTTTGCTGCCTCCTTAGTCTTCGTTTCACTGCGGCGCTTTGGGAAGCAGTGACCACTCATGAGCAGAGTAACGCTCGCGCATGTTGGAAACCACTGTTTTGGGTGCATTTATCGCCAAGACGCAGCACTGGCTACATATAAAACCCAGGGAAACTTTTTTTTCATGATGAAAACAGAGAGCACGACACCTCTATTTCATAGATAGCGGACGGGGAAACGACAACTGCTAAGGAAATCGCGAAACGAGTTGTAGTTTTTGTTCGGGCAGGTTTTCTGCGCAGGATTGGGCCAGTCTGTCACACGTCCTGGCTAAGTTCGCTCTCCTTCTGCTTCATCTGTTTCCCCTCCGGCTCAGGGAAAGCGTGGCCGCTCTTGTAAAAGTCTTCCACCAAGAGGGCCAGCTGTGTGACCGTTGCCCCTATGCCCTCTGCGTTCTTCTGCTTCAACGCCTCGAAACGAGGCAGGACTGACGTCCGAATAATATCCATGACTTTGGAAAACTGCTTCTTGTACTGGCGAGCCGCCGCATGGCCAGCCGTTTGAAGGAATTCGAGCAGCAGGGCGGGGGCAATGCGGCCCGCCTTCGCCGACGTGCTGCATAGCATGTTGATAAATCGTGCCCCCCACAGCCAGACATCCTCTAGTTCTGCAGCGAACACGCAATAAGCGCATGCGTTCGCGCAGCGGCCACTCGCCTGCCAGCAAGCCACGGTGCAAGACGGCAGTTGTGAACGAATACCTCCCTAAACACGTCGAAAATAGTGCAGCGCTAGCCAGAGTGCTTGGGGGTGACGGGAAGCATAAGACACGCTTAAGTGGAACTTCGCTCGAAATGCTGTGGTGAAGATGCCACCATATATATATATACATATACATATGTATATATATATACATCTGTTGCCGCGTTTTACTACAGCTACCGAACTGGCTAGCTTAGCGGCCAGCTAGAATAGTCTGACTGCGCATGTGCACGATATCCAGCTAGCAGGGCACATCCATCCATACTCTGGGAGCAGACAAGATACGCTATCCAGAGGCGTAGGGATGCTGCCATTCTGTCGAAGAAATCGACCTCAGACTCCCCAGCCCATTGCCCACGAAGGCGATAAAAGGCCTCTGCCGTCATCCCCTGAAACAGTCGCAGCAGCAGCCGCAGCATCATTGGTGCAGCTTCGGCTAGATGCCAGCAACAGCAGCGCCAGCAGCACTTTGTTACCGCGGCAGCAGATTTCGCCAACCTGCGTCCTTCGGTGGGAGAAAGGGGTTGCGTAGGTGCAGACGGAGAAGAGAGCTGCCCGAAAGATTCTCTCAAAGTCTTTGGCATGCGAAGCCACACTGCAGTAGGAGGCACAAAAAGAGAGGCTTATTTGGAGACGTAGACGCACTGGATGACATAGGCATGGTGGAAAAAGGATTGAACGAAACATGGGCTGCTGGAAAAATTCACGTCGACAAAAAAGCCCAAGAGATAAGGCGTATGAAGACGGTAGAGAGAGAGAGGATACAGCACAGGCATGAGGCGGAAAGGGGCAGAGAGAGCCCACGTGAAGTGCTGACGATTGAAAGTAAAGAATGCCAAGCATTTAAGGCCCTTCGGCGCGAGCACGGACAGAAGCACATACGCCATACACACATACATACACACACATATACAGACATACGCATAGATACATGTGCACACACATGCGCATATTTACATACACACATACAGCAGACACAGCTGCAGCTTACCCTCGAATGAGATAACCATACGCCCAAACCGAACTGGGTCGCACACTTAGCTGTACAGACACCGCAACGCATGAGCGCGTCAAGCAGCTCCACTTGCAAGGACCTCTGCCGTCAAAGCAGCAACAGCAGCAGCAAAAAGGCTGGGAAAGCGGCGGAAGCGAGCGGTCTAAAATACAGGCAGGCGCAATGCTGCTGCAACGTGAAGACTACCTGTCCTCCCCGTTCACACAAGGCAAGGATCCTTTTGGCCAGTTCACGACAAAAAAATTCCTCTGCTCCCTCTGGCATGCGCTTTAGAGGCCCCCTAATGAAACCACGAAGCGTCTCAATAGCCTGCACCAACAGACAGACACACACGAAGGGGGAGGCTGCCAGAAGGCAAGACAAGACGCCGAGCGATGCTGCGCTAGCGTCACACTCCAAGGCACCCCCTCCACCCAAGAGGACAGGCAAGTGAGTAAGCCACAGAGAAAACAAAGAGAGCACTCTACAGAAAGGAAGGCAGAAGATGCCTTAGGGCATCTTTCTCCTCTGCTGCCCCCCCGCCGGGGAGGCGTGGCAAGCGAGAATCGATCACGAGAGGCCATGTTGTTTTGAGGCAGCGTCGAACGGCAAGACAGGGAAGTCGAAGAAGCCGTGAAAATATGGCAGATGCATGTCAGGACGTGAACAAGCAGCAGCAACCACAGGATGGCGCCAGACAAAAGCTTCAGAAAGTCGTCAAGAGGAGGAAAGCCTTCCTTACGGTTATGACTTGGCTCTGTGTGGAGGCGACTTGGTTCAGAGATGAATTGATGAGGGCCTTTACTTCCACTCGCACTTTCTTCGACTCGTCTTGTGTCAAACCCTAAGTGCGTGCCAAAAAACAAACTTCTACTCGCTCAATCGCAACTGTAGGCAGCTGACCCCTAACCCACGTCTCGAGTCTGTGAAGCGCGTGGAAACTGCTGTCAAGCGCTCTCTATAGATGTAGACATGTATATATATGCATATAGATGTAGATGCTTCTATGGAGAGCTGAGAATATGCAACCTATAGCAGCCGTGCAGCACTTCAGACTGCACGAGCACCATCAGAAAGGCACCTGGAAAGTTGGCATGGACTGCTGTCTTTCTGCCTCCTTGTAGCCAGCGATCTCCTGAAGGGCCGCTGCTACGAATGGATGTGTTGAGGCAGACGGCAGCGTGTCATCTGCTGCAGCAGGAGGTGCTGCCGCAGCAGAGGCTGCAGTAGTAGATGCTGCAGCGGCAGGAAGAGCATCAGACACCAGGAGCGACATCCACACATGAGGCAGTGTGGGAGTCTCAAAATGCATCTATTTCACACGCAGAAATTTGTTGGAGAGTGAACCTGGGTGCCTCCTTGCGCCACCATCCCCACGATATAGGGGCATGCAGATCGCAAAAAAGAAACGCAAGCAGTTGAAAAAGAGAAGTGAGCACCCGTGCATGGCTCCCGTCTGTTTGCTCTCCCCAATACACCATACCAGTGACATCCGTCTGCGCTGCTTCCTGTAGTTGTTGCTTCTGCTGCGCTTTTTCCACCTCCTGTTTTCTCTGCTCCTCTGCCTCTTGCTTCTTCCTCTCCTCTGCCTCTTGCTTCTTCCTCCGCTCTTCTTCCTCCCTCCGTCGCTGCTGCTGCTCCTCCTCCTTCTTGCGCTGCTGCTCCTCCAGCAAAGCCTGACGCTTTGCCGCCTGCAGCACCGACAGCAGAAACAGCGAAAACAACACAACCCCTCTCAAAACAGCAGAAAGAGGCAACCTCAATTCGCTTCTCTACCCGCAAAAACAGCAGCACAACACGCCACGTCTGTGCAGCAGCAGTCGCAGCCCGCGTTTGTAGCCAGCCTCAGCAACAGAAACCAACCTCTTCCTTCTCCCTGCGTTCTCTCTCCGCCTTCTGTCTGAGTGCCTCCAGCCTCTCCGCCTCGCGTCTTTGTTCTGCACATAACAGATACACTGGAAAGGCTACATCAGACACCAGCAACTTAAATATGCCTGGCAGACGCCGCAAAACTCCTCCCCAAAAGCAGCTCTCGCCCATCCTTCCGAAGTACCTGCCTTTTCCTCCGCTTGCTGCTCAGCGATCAGCTCAGCCTTAGCGTCTTTTGTCGCTTCCAGCAGTCGCCGGAGGGAGGAAAAGCGGTCGGCAGCTGCAGCAGCAGCAGCTGCTGCTGCTGCTGTTGCTGCTGCTGTTGCTGCTGCTGTTTTAGGCCGTGTTGCTGCCCTCCCCGTTTCTGCGTGTGCTGCAGTCTTAGGGGACGGCAACCTGCAAAACTCGCTGCTGCAATTCCTCCAGCTGTGACTCCCACTGGCAGCCTCGAAGGAGGCGCGCGCGGCGAGTGAAGTCAAAAGCACTTGCTGCTGTGCAGCTGCTGCGCAAACTGCAGCAGCAGCAGCAGTAGCAGCAGCAGCAGAACTTGCTGCTGCTACTGCTGCTGTGCCTGCTGCTGGAAATTCAGCACCAGATATGTGCTCTGCAGTAAATAGGTCTGTGTCGAGGCGAAAGAGACGCCTGATGTTTCCTTTAAAGGCACTTTCACCAGCACGAGCTGCCTCTGGTGTCTTCCTCCTCTCCGCAGCAGCAGCAGCCGTAGGGGGAGCCTCCTCGATTTGCTGTGCGGTAGCTGCTGATTCGCTCTCATCTGCAGCAAGTGCAGCTGTAGCTGCTCCTTTCTCTGCAGCAGGAGCAACCCCTGCAGGAAGCGTCGAAGGCGTAGCTGCTCCTGCTGCTGCTCCTGCTCCTGCTGTCTCGGCAGCGGCAGCTATACGCAGCAGCCAACGCATGCAGCATGTGTTAATCCCCCGATGCGCTGTGCCTGCAGCCGCAAGAGCTCGATCCAGCAGCGTCCAGCTACCATGCTTTTGCTGCTGGTGAGGCTTTTGTAGCTGCTGCACGTGAAACACAGCTGTTTTGTCAGTGGCAAGCTCCGCCTTCTTCTTCGCCACTGCTGCGCTGCTAAAGGAGTCTCCTCCTCGAGCTAAGGCACTGTGCAGAAGGCTTTCTTCTGCGAGCATCTGCAGCAGTGGGGGAAGCGGATGCTGCGGCAGCACCTCTTCCTGCCGCTCAGGCAGCTCCTCTTGTTGCTCCTTCTCAACGGGAGAATGGCGCTTCCCCCCTACTGCTGCTCTCACTTGTTCTGCACTAAGCGCAGTTGAGGCTGCAGCGTTCGATCGAGGATCTCTAGCAGCTGCAGCAGAATCAGCAGCAAACTCCTGCACAAATTGCGCTGATGCCTTTCCTCTCCGGATCGTCGACACTGAATGCTGCACGGCTTCCGCTCCTCCTGCAGATTCTACTGATGTTGGAGGAGAATCTGCAGGTTCTGTTGCAGATTCTGCAATTGGTGCTGCTGCAGGTGGTTCTGCAGATTCTGTTGCAAGTGCTGTTTCTGCTGCATGTGATTCCGCAGGTTCTGTTGCAGATTCTGCAATTGGTGCTGCTGCAGGTGGTTCTGCAGATTCTGTTGCAAGTGCTGTTTCTGCTGCATGTGATTCCGCAGGCTCTGTTGCAGATTCTGTTGCAGCTTCTGCTGTTGGAGGTGCTGCAGCTTCTGCTGCAGCTGAATCTGCAGGTGTCTCTGCAGCTTCTGTTGCAGCTTCTGCTGCATGCGCTGCAATTGCTGCTGCACATGTTGCAGCTTCTGTTGCAGGTGCTGCAATTGCTGCTGCACATGTTGCAGCTTCTGTTGCAGGCGCTGCAATTGCTGCTGCACGTGTTGCAGCTTCTGTTGCAGGTGCTGCAAGAGGAGCTTCGGAAGTTGCGCTTGCTCTTTCTGGCTCTGTTGCCAGTGTATGCGTTCGTTCAGCTGCTGCTGCTGCTGCCCCCGTTTCAACTGAAGAGTTCGCTGATCCTGCTGCTGCTTGCATGCTACTGCGGCATTCCAGAGCGCCTTGCATGTGCATTTTCATGGCTGAATTTGGCAGACATGAAGCAGCAGATCCCTGGCATGCGGTAAATGCAGCAGGAGGTGCTGCTTCTACTAATACACCTGTTGCCGCTTCCAAGCCTCGCTCGATTTCGCTGTTTTCTGCTGTGTAGCTACTGCTGCTGCTGCTGCTTTTTGCAAGACACCAAGAGGCACTCGACTGTTCGGCTTTTTCATCTAACGCCTCCCCTTGCGCTAAAAGCTCTGCACAGCGGCTGCTGCTGCTGCTTTGGTGGATCGAACGGCCTCCCTGTACTCTGCCCTCTGCGGTGTCTCGGCAGCTCGCGCTACCGCTGCTGCTGCTGCTGCTGCTGCTGCTGGATTTTTGCATTTTCGCGCGGCTCCAGTTTTCCCAGTACCGCCATGCATGCGAAAATCTGTCCACCGTAAAACTACTGTTAGGGAGGGTGAGTTCTTAAGGAGGGGGGAGGGAAGGGAAATATGCGCGCAGCAGTCCGCCTCTTGACACTCGAAGACGGTGTATGGTGATGATGAGCGAGAAAAGAGGAACCCCCTGTGCTGGCTTGCAACCTTCCTCCCTCCCCCCTCCAGCCCCCCTAGAGGGAAGGCCGCTACTGCAGCAGCCTCCAGATAAGATCAATGCGCAGTATCTAATAACTGCGTGTGTGCTTAGAGGTTTCGCCGACTGCCGCTGAGGGTAGGGATGCTGCTGTTGCTGCTGTTGCTGTTGCTGTTGCTGCAGCAGCTGTTGTTGTTGTTGCTGTTGTTGCTGTTGCTGTTGCTGCAGCAGCTGTTGTTGCTGTTGCTGCACGCTCTGGGGGTGTAGTGCAGCTTCCCTGTACAAAAAAGTTCGCGCTGAAGGAAGACACGTACGCCAGAGGAAGCCGCCTGTTTCTGCTGCTGCTGCTACTACTCCTCCTCCTCACGCCCTCTGCATGTCAGACAGCAGCACTTTCGAAGGCACTCGACAGGTGGATGGGCAATCGCGCTGGGAAAAACACGCAGCGGTGATTTGACGACGGCACTGCATGCATGCGTCTTCGGAGGGAACGCGTGGCTTAATCCGAGGGCTTACGGATCGCTTGGTGCCGCTGTTACCGTTGAGAAGAATGCTATTTCACGGTGTGATGCAGAGCTTTCTAATTTCATCTTCAGGCTGGCTCCTCCCGCATGCATGCAACGGGTTGGCTGCTTGACTGCAACCCGTCACGGGGGGCCCCCCGCCGCTCCCCCTGGGGGCCCCCAAACACCCCCGGCCTCAGGCGGGGTCACTGAATTTCTGCCACCGTGCACTGCATGTGTTTCTCCCCCCGTTTCTCCAATTTAATTTCTAGGAGGAGTGTGCTAAGTTAATTGGGCTTGTTGCGCTGCTGGTGATCCGCCTGTTGCAGAAAGGATGCCAGCAGGCGTTCGGTTGTTTGCTGTGACTTCAAGTCGGCGCTTTGCGACAGGTGAGGGGCCGTTAAGGGGCGTTTGCGCCGTTGAGGGTAAGGAGTGGTGGCTTCGCAGCAACACAACTAATGGAAGCGAGGGGAGAAAACGAGGGCAAGCGCCAGCAACGCATAGGCGGATTTCCGCACAGGTTCTAAGAAACGCAATGATTCAGAACGGCTGCGTTCCTCCACACGTGTACTGCCGCCTCGGAACCCCTTGCTTCCCGACATATTTGCTCGCGGCTCCCCATACACCCCACCCACCACTTCCTCCAAGAGGGCCGACGGCCACTTGCCAGTCGCTCTTTTCGTGTGTGCTCCCCCCGTCAACTTGAATCCCCTTAGTCATTTATCTAGCGATGCTGCGCGCGCGACTGCACGCCTGAGAAAAAACGACAGGCCCTAAGGTTGTGTGCAGCCAGCGGCACGCTGCACTAGGAAGAGTGGAGCTCGGAAAGCAGGATCCTTAGGGATTTTTTGCCTCCCTCTTAACCCCCTTCTTCCTTTGCTTGCTGCGGAAAGCCTCGCTTTAAAAGAATGCCAACTCTTAATTAAAGAGTTAGGGGGGTCTGTAGGAAACAAGGGATTTTTGCGCGTGGACTATCCCGCTTCCGAGGGCGGCTCTGCCTCGACCTCTAGAGCCTCGGGTGTCCATACACCTCGGCTTTTGTTGGATTTTATGTGTATAATCTGAGAAAAAGACCGTGCAACATTGTACGGCAGTTCATGCGGCTGGCAGCTCGTGGTGCAAATCAGGGGGACCCCGAGGTGGTGTACATACACCTGAACTGCAACCTCCAGCATCTGCGCCAAGTCGCGCTGCAGCTCTGCTCTGCCCTCCTCCCCGGCTGCAGCCGTTGCTGCTGTCGCTGCCGTTCCCACGAATTCCTCAATCTGAGAAAGACACAAGGCTGCCCCTGCGGCAGAGGCACGGGAAAAAAGCAGCAGCAGTTGCTGCTGAGAGCGTCCGACGGTCGCATCCATCACCTCCCCCGCGGAAGCGTAAAAGCAGGGAGGCTGCCCTTCTGGCGCATCTTTCATGAAGCAGAAGGAAGAGGGGGCGTCTGCGCTGACTTTCCCCCTGACAAGCTGACCTAGAACTGTCATCAAAAGAAACTTATCCAGCGCCTCCCCACCCACCACGAGGAGGCACAGGGGAAAAGACAGTTTACACCAGCGCATACAGCAGACAGCCCTCGGTTGGAGCTGCGCGGTGCTGCTGGGGTCGGTGTTTCCACCCTCAACCCCGTCGCAGCTCCTGCAGAGATCACACACACACTTTAGACGGAGCCGCGGAAGGGGAGAAGCCCCCTCAAGTTCTCTGCTGAGCGATGACAATGACACGCTGCGGATTCTGCTGCTGACAGACTTGCCCCCAAGATGCCGTGCCAAGGCAAGGCATCTCAGTCGGTGTATAGCGCTGCGAAAATTCTTCAAAGCCTCTTCCGCCCCTTCCTCCCCGACGGCAGTAGCAGCTCCTTCTTCTGGAGACGGCCACTGCGGCTGTCGCTGCTGCTGCTCCCCCTCTTCGAGCAGCGTCTGCAAGAGCTGCAATGGAGGGGATGGCAGTTCTATAAAAAGATCTTCCAATGATTTTATTGGAGCCCACCTCCAAACAGCAACCACAAAGACTGTTGGTGCTGCTTTTGCTTTTGCTGCACGTTGTGGAACCGTGCAAGCGGCACTGGCAGCATCAACAGCAGCTGCAGCTGAAGCAGCTGCAGCTGAAGCAGCTGCAGCGCGTGAGCGCATGCTTCGACAGCCCAGCAAAACGGCTTCCAGCAGGGGGTGCTGTTCTGTGTTGCTCCTGCTGTCTTCAGTTTCGCTGCTGTCGCTGTTTTCGCTGCTTTCGCTGCCGCCTCGCTGCTTGCGCTGCCGCTGTAGCAGCGCGTGTTGAGCGTCATTGGCAGCAGAGTTCAAATACCAAATATCCGGATGAATGAGCAGCAAGACTTTGACGAGGGGTCCCTCTGAAGTCTCCTCCTGCTCCCCAGCTGCTGCTGCAGCCGAGGCTTCTCCTGCAGCCTGAAAAGCCGCGAATCGCTGCTGCAGCAACATGCCCGAATCGACCCCTTCGCTACAAAGATCTGCACAGGAAATTGCCTGCACATAGACTGTAGAGGGCTGCTGTTGCAGTATCCGCTGTATGCTGCCATCGCTCCCCAGCATCCAGAAGCGGCTTCTGCCTCCGTCTGCACTACTCCCCCTGTGCTGCAAGGCGTCTTTTCCTCCTGAACACCCTACGGAGACGGCCTTAGAGGCAGCTGTCAGAGAGGGCTGCCCTTGCTGCTCGAGCAACTGCTGAATGAGCTGCGTGAAAAAGCTAGGCCAGATTCGACAGCATCGCACACCAAGAAAGAAGCAGCAGCCGCTGCACCCCCCCCTCCTGCCGAGGCACCTGCAGCGCCGCTTCCTGCTGGCTCCGATGCAGAAGTCGTTCTTGTCGCCCCCGTTGCTGCCTTCTGCACGAATCCGCTGCAGCAAAAGAGGCAGAGATGCTGGCGCAGCATCACTCATAGTCGCGCGCATCTCCATTTCGACACTGCACGCACCAAAGCCGAAATGCCCCTAAGGGCTTTCTTTCTTTCTCTCTCTGTCTGTACGCCTTATCCTTCTGGCAGTGTCGGTGGGTGCTGCCGTGCTGCGAGCCAGCTTCCCCCGTCCTCCCTAAAACTCATATTTTAGAGTTTCAAAGACCAGATTCCGCAAAAACACCGCCTTTTGATCATGAGGAAGCTTGGAAGATCCCCCCTATCGATGCTCCACAGCACACGCGCCAGCTCGAGGGGCCCCCTCCCGCCCCTTCGACTCTGCGCCTCTCCACCTTAGGGGCCCCTCAGCCTGGGCAACGTAAAGACTCCTCAACCCTCCTTGGAAATATATATATATATTTATATGTATATGCGACTTAATTGCTCGCTAACAAAGACTTTCAAGCGATTAAGGACGAGGTGACTTGGGTAACGGGGTGTATGCCGCTTGTTCCCCCGCCTCGCGCTGCTCGCCAATACCGAGTTGCCGATTTGGGGGCCCCTTTGGGCGTTTACAAGTAGAGAACCCTCTTTAGTGACGACGTTTAGGAGCAGAGGCGAAGTGCAAAGCCTCCAAGGACGGGAGGGCTGCGACGAGCCTGAGGCTGTTTTCCGTCCCGTGCTGAAGCATGAGCATTCCGAGCAGGTGTACGTGCTGAACTCTAAGGCTGCCTCAGACTAGCTACACTGATGAGGTGGGCTGCGCCGCTTGTTAGGGCACTTTTACACACACTGCCTAAGACTAGAGGGAGGGGGCTAGAGGCATCGCTGGCGAGGTCTGCGGCGCCTACCTTCGCACCTGGCCGTATAGCGCCTCTGAGAGACTTGCACAAAGGACAAACTCGCATTCCTCTCTCTCTCTCTCTATTTCTCTGCCTTTCTATTTCTGCATCGCTGGGTGCCCTTTGAAGGCCCCTTTGAAGGCGCTCGCCCCTCCCCTGCCTTCTCCGGAGGTTTTGGGGGGGAATGCGCATCGCGAGGCGGCGTGTATCTTCTGCTCGTTTTGAGCTGCCTTTCCTGTTGCCCCTCCTTTTGTCGTCACGCGCGCCTATTGCGGCAGTGGATCGTGTTGCAGCAAAGCTGCGCATGCAGCAGAGCTACTTGGTAGAGCAGGAGGAGAAGTACACTAGGAGGGGTGGGTGGTAGGGGGGAGGGCCGACTCCGCTTTATGGGAGCAGTATAAAATCAGTATCCATGAAGAGCCGCTCAAACGCAGTCTCGCCAACTTGATACCTGAGAAAAAATACGCGCAGAGCAGCACACCCCTTCCTTGATATCTATAGCCGAGAGCGCAGCCCGCGCCTAGCCAGCAGCAGCAGCACCATGAAGAGGGCAAAAGCACGCAGAAGCTACAGCACCAGGCGAAACAAGCAGCGCAGCTCACTTACTTGATGAGCAGATAGAGCGGCGCAAACTCCCCTGGAATCGATGGGTTGCAGAATCCTAAAAGGCCTCTCTTGGTCGCTTGTGACAAGTCGATTCGGCTGTCCTTAACACGAGCCATCAAGGGGATGCTAACAGACAGCGCGGCTCCCCATTCGGGTGTATGGGGGGCCCCCAGCCAGCTGCTGCCAGGGGGGCCCCCCCCCCCGCCGCTGCTGCTGCTGCACTCGCCATTGAGAGCGTTGCTCGGGCTAAAGCCGCTGCTGTCGGTGCTGCTCGCCGTGGCTTGCGCCTTTTGGATTGCCTCTAGAGTGCCGTAGTACGCAGCAATAATCAAAAGCCCCTTCTTTTCTCTTTCTGCAGCATAGGCCGCTTGTGCGTCTCGCAGCAGAAGTCGCTGCTCCCCCACTGCTCGAGCGAGGGTTGCTGCGCGCCGTGCCGCTGCTACGGCCTCTGGCTGCTGCTGCTGCTGCTGCTGCTGCTGCTCCGCTGCTGCTGTGGCAGCAGCAGTTGCAGCAGCAGGCAGCCCGGTGTACAGACGCAGAAAGGGGCGCAAACAGTCAGAAGGCGACCGCGCTTTAGCGGCTGCTACTGCCGCTTCTGCAGTTCGGGATATGAGGCACCGAAAAAGCCAGTAGATCGACGACACGGCTTGCATGGATGCAGCAAACACTGCAGCAGAAGCGCAAGAGCAGCATGCGACAGCGAGAAGACTTAGCCTCTTTCAAACGCTATGCTGATGGCAGCGTGTCTTGTGGCGAGGTCAAGCCGTGTCAAATCAGGAAAATTTTCCCGCCCCCACACAGACACACACAGACAGACACATACACCTCGCTGCTGTCGCTGAAATCAACGACAACTAAGCAAGGGTGCAAGCCATGCAGGTGGCTCCTCGATTCAGCAGCAACACTTAAAGGAGCACCAACAGCAGCAGCAGCGGGGTTCAGCGAGGTAGAAGCAGAAACAATAACAATAAAAGAAGCAGAATCCATAACAACAACAATTAAAGAAGCAGAATCCATAAGAACAACAATTACAAAAGCAAAAGCACCAGCAATGACAACAACAATTAAGGAAGCAAAAGCACCCGCAATAACAACAACAATAAAAGAAGCAGAATCCATAGCAACAGCAATTAAAGAAGCAAAATCCATAACAACAACAATTAAGGAAGCAAAAGCACCAGCAATGACAACAACAATTAAGGAAGCAGAAGGAATAACAAGAATAAAAGAAGCAGAAGCACCAGCAATAACAGCAACAGAAGCAGAATCCATAACAACAACAAAGAAGCAGAATCCATAACAACAACAATTAAGGAAGCAAAAGCACCAGCAATAACAACAACAATTAAGGAAGCAAAAGCACCCACAATATCAACAACAATAAAAGAAGCAGAATCCATCACAACAACAATTAAAGAAGCAGAATCCATAACAACAACAATTAAAGAAGCAGAATCCATGACAACAACAATTAGAGCAGCACGAATTTGCATGCATTTTAAAATGCATACCTTGTCTGGGGTTGTGGATGCAGAGAATGGCGGAGGGAGGGAGGGCAAGTATTCCAAAAAGGAAGCCACTGAATATTGCAGGATCTCGGAGCAGAAGCGCCTCGATCGAACGCCATCCGAGCGCACTATGGTATTGCTGCTGCTGCAGTGCTGCAGCAGCAGCAATATCAGCTGGGGAGGTGCCTGCCGCTGCGGCAGCTCCGAATAGCTGCAGCGGCAGCGAAAGAGCCAAACCTCTCGTTTTCCCTTTGAGAGTTAATCGCAAGGAGCGAGAGCTCCACTCAAGAGCGTACACCAGACGTGTCTGCTCAGCACCCTCGCCAAGCGCAAAGGTCCACTGCACCTGCAGCAACACATACTAACAGAAGAAGGCAGCACTGCAGCGGCAGCAGCATTCGCAGGAGGCATGCAGGTGGGTGGGCATGCATGCATGCATGCGACTGAGCAGAGAGGCATTAAAGCGCTTTCTTTTGCCGCTTCTGCAGTTAGAAAAAGCCAACAGCAGCAGAAGGGCAGACTTTTGAGGGCAGGCTGCTCGGCCGCGCATGGCTAGCTAGCTAGCTAGCTAGCTAGCTAGCTGCCGCGAGGCCTTTCGCCGCAGAAAAAAAGCACACCTTGGTAGAAAAGCCAGCGTGTAGAGACACCTGCGGCTTGAAGATGACGGCTGCGCGTGGCATGAGAAAGACGGTCGCCCATCGGCATGCCACGACTGCATCGTTGGATGCCACTGCGAGAGACAGCTGAGCCTCGTGCTCCTTCACTCGGCGGGGGGGAAGCGCAGTGCCTTGTCTCCAGCGAGCGTTTCGAAAGCCTCCTGCAAGCGAGTCGAAGGAAGGGCTGAAGAGGGAAGGCATCTCGTCCGATATTGATCCCAGGCAACAGCCTCTGAACGCTTCTGCCGTCGAACTGCTGGTGCGTCTTGCCCGATTTCCAGGAGTCGTAGTCGCGCCGCTGCTGCCGCATGCATCCCCGCTGCTGCTCCTGCTGTTGCTGCTGTTGTTGCTATTGCGAGCAGCAACTAGCGGGAGATCGCGGGGGAGGGGATGCGGCAGCCTGTGCGCTATCGACAGAGAAAGGGCAGAAGCTGGCCCTAAAGAGGCCGAAAGAATTCCTACAGTCAAAGGAGAGAGTTTCTGAAAATGCGAGAAGCGGCAAACAGACATGCAATGCGTAGGCTGTAAGATTAGACTCAATTATATACCCGAAAATATCGAGATCGGCGGAGCGGAAAGGCATGCATCCACGAGACACAGAAATACGGCAGACTGCACCACCGTCCAGAGAGAATGGGGCAGGCGCACGCGCGTGTACACGTGCTTTTCAAGTTTCACACGAGTAGCCAGCTAGCTAGCTAGCTAGATAGGTAGGTAAGTATGTAGGTAAGTAGGTAGCTAGCTAGCTAGGTAGGTAAGTATGTAGGTAAGTGGGTAAGTAGGTAAGTGGGTAAGTAAGTAGGTAGATAAGTAGGTAAGTGGGTAAGTAGGTAGGTAGGTAAGTAGATAGCTAGGTAAGTAGATGGCTAGGTAAGTAGATGGCTAGGTAAGTAGGCAAGCAGAAAAGTAAGTAGGTAGGTAAGTAGATGGCTAGGTAAGTAGGCAAGCAGGTAAGTAAGTAGGTAGGTGAGTAAGTTGGTAGTTAAGTAAGTAGGTAGGTAGCTAGGTAGGTACGTAGCTAGGTAGCTGGCTAGCTAGGGAAGTAGATAGGTAAGTAGGTAGGTAGCTGCCTACCTATCTACTTAGGCAGGTAGCTATCTACTTTCCAGTAGTTAGTTTTATCCAGCAGCTGCAAGAAGAAAGCAGCCTCCTACCTGCTCCCATCGGATTTGATGACTGAGTCTGGGAGCATCCTGCCCGATAGGAACGGTCCACAGCTCAGTGCCGAGCGCCTGTTGCAGTTCAGCCTGTAAGCTGTCGTGTAGTTGCTGAGGAGTCATCTCGTTCTGACTGCTGCCGTTGCTGATGTCTTGCAGCACCCTCGTTAGGAGCCAGCGGATGCCTCGATACATCCGGCGGGACGAGTATAGCAGGAAGGGAAGAACGCGCGAGAGGTAAACTTCTTCGAGAATGCAATGCACAGATATTCGTGAAGATGCTGAGGGTGCGAGGCGTGTGATGCCAAATCGGCAGACGGAAAGCGTTGAGGAGCTCTGCAAAACAGTTCCGTGAAACAGCGGATGTTGCGCATGCAGGTAGAGAAAAACTCTTCACTACAATAGCCGGCTTTGCACACGGGTAGAGCAGAAAGACGAGGGAGCCCTACCGAAAAACACACCCTACCGCCGCAAATTTTTATCAAAGATTAAATCCACAACGCCTCTACCTATCTCTCCCTCTGCAATCATATAATATATGTGTAGATGCATCTGTAGATGTTCATATATGTATATAGGAATATATGTATATATATATATCTGGATGTGTATATATATATACATATGTATATATATGCATATGTATGTATGCACATATGTATCTATATATATATATATTTAAACACACGCAGAGAGAGAACATAAAAGCCCTGGCCGCAGAAGGGGGGTTGTTAAAACACACGGAGGGAAAAGTCTCTTATACATATTTATGTACAGTAAGGTGCAGAGAGGCAGATATGCGGCAGAAGAAGGGCTGCAATTGCAGCACGTCATGGACTGCACATGCCGGCACGCAGCTGCTTGCGTCAGGGAAGGCGGGCAGCACAGACACCCATTAACGCAGAATGATGTCGGAGCAGAAGGAACAAGCTGCTGATCAATGCAAGCTGGGGGCAAAAAACTGCAAAGCTAGGAACCTCGAGCTGGAAGGAGCAGCCTGCGAGGAAAGAGCCAGCGAAGATACCGAGCGCATGCAAGCTTACCAAAGGTCTTAGCGCCAATGCGGCTTCAGCTACCAAATCATCTGCTAGCTGTGCTGCTCCTGAAAGGAAGCAGAGAAAGACACCCATGCCTGAAGCGCAACAACAAGGGCAGCCGCAGAAGATGCACTTTTTGGCACAAAAAGCGGCGCTGCAACACACACAATGTCGCCAAAGAAAGCACCATTGCAGTTCCCTCTCCTGTTAGAAGCCGTTCTAGCTGCCTATTTCTTTCCTCCCCTCCTAAAACTCCTTTCTCCTCCCTCCTTTCTCCTCCCTCCTTTCTCCTCCCTCCTGCCCCCTCTCTCGAAAATGACAGCTCCTGCATGCCCAGCACGCACCGGATCGGAGAACCTGTGAACCTAAGACGAGGGAAAGATTCAATCTATCCCAGAGAGTCGCTTCAATGGAATGGGAGACTGCAGATATCAGCGCAAACAGGCAGGTAATAGAAGCGTGTCAGAGGGTGCTTGTTCGAGCCAAGACAGAAAACTGGCAGCTCATGCATTCTTTTTCAGGATTGCGAAAGCCCCGAAGCAGGCAGCAGACGAGCAATTCGAGGGCGTCTGCATGCAGCAGACGCATGGACGCAGCTGCTGCATGCAGAGCAGAGGCGCAGTCTTACGGGCTGCATCTGCCAGCTGAATAAGGGAACGCTCCTCTCGGCTCCCTGGAGAAGCCGATGACGGATACTCCTGCAACTGCATTTGCTGCAGACTGTAATCGTCCTCATCTCCGCTGTTGCTGGTCGTGGGCTTCTCGCTGCTGCTGCTCTTGCTGCTTATGCCAAGTCTCTTGAGAGCGGCATGAGCTCGTCGCTTGTACAGGGAGTCAAAGAAGAAGAGCGTATACGGCAGCTCTGCAGCGGCTGTCAGCCGCAGCGGGCTGTGCTGCTCTCGTTGTTGTCGCAAAGCAGCAGACACGCGCTCGTGGAGGGAGGCGCTGGACGGCTAAGAGGAAAATAAAAGAGAGCAGCCACAATCGAAGCCGCAATCGAAGTGGCAAATACAGCAGAGGGCACCTAATAATTCGATTTTTCGCATTTGGTGCGTGCAAGGCAGCAAGGGGCATAAACTTAAGCAGGCCGTATCTGCTGTTGCAAGAAGGTCCATAGAACATACAGACTTGTGCAGGTTCGGGTGTATCGACAGCGAAAACGCACTACCACCAAGGATTTTTTTTCTCTCTCCCTCCCCAACCCTTCCTACCGGAACGGCGAGTTGAAGAGCTTTGGCTTGTTCGTCTCTTAAGAGCCGCTCAGCTACCGCTACACCTTCCAAGCCCTCCAGATCTGCACCAAACAAACACACACACACACACAAATACACACAAAAGGACACACACACACACACAAATACACACAAAAGGACACATACAAACGCACACATACACACAAAAAGACACAAACAAACACACACAGACATACACACAGAAAGACACATACAAACACACACATACACACAAAAAGACACATACAAACACACACATACACACAAAAAGACACACACACATTCATACACGCACATACGCACATACACACACATTCATACACGCACATACACACACACACATACACGCACATACGCACATACACACACATTCATACAGCGAATACTGAAGACTTGAACCGCTCAGCGAGGCACGATTCGGCTACCCCGCGAAAGCGTGAGGCGAGGCTGTTACCGTAGATGTCTCGAAGCGTTCGGTTTCTCAAGATTGAGTAGGCGTGATTGAGCCGCACAAACGCCATGGGAAGGCCCCCACTGGAGGCGTAACTTTCAGAATTTCCCCCGTGGGAACGCCCTCTATGAAGGGGCCCATCGGGGGGCCCCTCTGACGCCTTATCCGGGTGAAAGAGCCGCGCGAGACGGCGGTAACTTGCAGCAATCTCCTCATCGGTAGCCTGAAGCGCGCGAAACATCCTTGGGGAGAAGAGTGCCATGCTGCATGCAGCTGGTGTACGCAAGAGGCGCAGCCGCTGCTGAGCAGAGCGTTGAAAGCGAAGGCAACGGCAGTTGCTTCCTACAGTCCGAGCTCTTGGAGGCGGTCAAAGTGCGCATGCATGCACACATGCATGCACACATGCATGCGCATGTGGCAACAGCTCAGCTAGACATGCATCGAAAAAGCCACAGGGATACACATACACGGCAAGACACCAGCAGCCGCAGCGGAAGCACCGGCAACATGTTCGACGTTGTGCTCACAGCGCGTGTCAGATGCAGCAAGTCGTAAAGATCTGCCTCCTCGTCTGTCTGATTCGACTCCATCGTGAGGAGCGCACGAGTCGCTGCAGCACATGAAAACCTCGAAGGCTCACACCGCACTCCCTTCACGCCCTCGTCTTGCAGCGGCACGTCAAGCATGCTGCAGCAAGAAACTACCCGCCCAGCAGCCGCACAAACAGCAGCGCATGCCCGAGAAGCTGCTGTCAGCACGTCAGGCATGCCCCTTAGATGCGGCGGGAGAAATACTTCGCGCGGCTGTTGCAGCCTTGTGACTCTATGCGTCTACAGAGAAGCGCGACAGTGCAGACCTTACACCAGGCAGAAGACGCCTCCCAATCTCTGGATTGCCGGTGGAGAGGATAGCAGAGAAGAGCAGCGTCGTCACGTGCAAGCCTATGAGACAACTTGCGGACGAAGAACCCCCAAAGAGCCCCAGAGGCAGCCGCTGCACGGCCGCTGTAGAGACACCCCACGCCTCCAGATGCACCGAGGCAGCAGCGGCACTGAGGAGGGATGGATGCCTTCAAACCCAGCAGCGCCAGCAGCAGCAGCGGCTGTCCACTGCACAGCAGGAGCAGATGCAAGCTTTCTATTCTGCCGCGGCTCTCTTTTGCCTGAGAAAGCACAAATAAGCCCACGGAGTCGAGGTTCAAGATCTGGAGCTCCGCACAGCTCGCTACACACACAAAGGCAAATATCACGCACAGGGGGCTGCAGCCTCCCTCGGGGGAAGAGGGCACGGCCTTGCAGCTGCCGAGGCATGGAACCCCTATCTGTGTGCTAATTTTAGGTTTTGCTGCTCAGAAACAGAATATTTCGTTGTCTTCGCAGCGCCTCTTCGTTCCTCCCCGCCCCCCGAATTGAGCAGGCGTCCAGCCCGGGGGGCCCCCCGGGGCCCCTGCAGGAGGGCCTATCATGAAATTCGGAGCAGTACCCTGCAGGCGGCACCTGGGGGCCCTCGTCTTTCTCCTTTGCTTGGGTTGGACGTCGCCCGAGGCTCCCCTGGGCTGCAGGGGGGGGGGGCCCCCTGCAGGGCCCCTCTGCAGGGGCGTTCAACCGCCGCGGAGGGGTGTTCTGCCGGGAAGCGCTCTGAATATCCACGCAGCAACCCCCAAAAGCCTGAAGTACGCCTGCCTGGGGAACGAAAGCCTCTGGAGGGGGTGGATGCGGGCAACCCTCCATGATGCCGCCCTCCAAACAACGCCGCCGCACCCCGAACGGTGTGGAGGAAGCCGTTTTTCGCTTCGCGCTCCTGGCAAGCGCTTTTTGTTTCTCGCGATAAGGAGCTCAACTCCCCCGTGGGCGCCCTCCAGCCCAGGAGGCTGCAGGCTCCTATCCTCCCTCAAGAGGCCCTACTACGTCATTGGCGAGGACGGGAAATTCCAAATTGAATCCAGGCAAGTCGGCGGGTGTCGGCTGAGTCGGACGGATGGGCAAAGTGTGTGTGCGAGGGGGAGCGGCGTGTGAATGCTGTAGGCTTCTGCCCCTCCCTGGTGCATCATCTGGTTTTTTGGGGGCTCTTGCAGCTGCTCCTTTGCTGCGCATGCTGCCCTGCGCGTGCGTTTGTTTTCAAGTTTCTTGCAGAGACCCCCCTCCAGATGCGATTTTCGAGGGATGGGCGGATCTTGTTGCCGAGGAAGAGAGGCTGTGGGGTTCCGGGGAGGCGGCGGCAACGGCCGCAGAAGAAGTTGTTCGCGGGGAGCGACCCCTTACGATCAAAGACAAAGTCAACGAACGCATCCTGAAGGGCAGGAAGGCACTCATTAGCGAATATGCCTTCAAGCAGCCGCTCAGCAAACACACGCTGTGGATCGTCACACCCAAACAAGGCACGCAGACAAGACCCACTCTAAAAGCTCTAAGACTTTGCGCATTGCCCATGGGAACCGCCATGGGGCGTGTAGCACATGTCAGTAACGGCAGTTTTGGCAGCTAGCCGTCTTCAAAAGAATCACCTGAGCTTTCCAGTGCTCCAAAGAAGCCCCTCCTCCTTCATGGGGTGAATGGACGGGGGGAGGGGGAGAGGAAAGGGGGGCTGCTCTGAGGTTTGGGGAACTGAGCGGTGAGGCCCTCTGTCGCGCAGGTGCGTACTGCGATTTGATGAAGCAAGACACTGGACGTGTGTCATCGCTCGTGAATAAACTGCGTTGGAAATACGCCTCGACTCTCTTGGAAGTTGGGCATGTTCAAATGCGGGCAAATGTACCGCTTTGCGAAGTCTTCATCGCAGGGCCCTTCCCCGGAACCTGCCGCATCTTTTATGCTCGGGGTGCAACTTTGCAGGTAAGTGGTACTCTGCGTGTTCTCACGGTAATGTGTTAGTAGGCTCCCTAAAGCATTCGGTTTTGCAAGCAAGTCAAGTATAGAATTCACGGCCTCTGAACTCTCTGAGGTTGCCCCTAGTGCTGTTTTGAATTCGATGCCCCTGGCGCTTTTTCTTCATTCCGCATGGGGGGAATACTACAGGACGTCTGAATGCATTCTGTGCGAAAGCTCTCGGCTGTGTTGGGTGGTAGTACGTCTCTACTGTAGGGCATGTGCGGGGTTTACTGTGGCATCTGAACCTCGAAATTTCATAGTGTTTGCACAGCCTCTCTTAGGATACCGCTCCAGGTGTATGGCCAGCAGCAAGAACGCACCGGTTTTTTGTGGTTTCCTTGGCTCAGTACCGCGTGCGGCCGCGCTTTCGCACGATCTGTCCTTTGCTAGAGAAGGATGAGAGGCTGCAGCAGAAGTACGGAGGAGCTGCGTGTCCAGGCCTCTTTCCCACATGGGATGAAAGCGGCATCCTGGAAGAAGTGGACGAATGCATGAACCGGCCGCCGCCAGACATGGAGGTACAATGGACCGCACTTTCTCTGCGTTACAGGCTAGGGAAGAGAACTGTTATGAAAAATTATGTGCGATTACACGAAGTAGAAATGCAAAGTCTTCGGTTCATGGGTTAGTTGCAATGTTAGCTAGGAGTAGTATGTCGTGTATGCGATCAGCTCACATTTGTTGCATGAATGGCATACTTCATCACAATCCAGTGGATATTTGCTACTAGTACGTTCAGAGCTCGTCTCACGTTTGTAGTCGGCCTGCAGGCTAACGCATGCGTTGCGAGCAATATTGTTCCCTCTTTCGGTAGAGGGCAAGTGTTAAGAGTCCAAATTCGAGAAAATGCAAAGGGCAGAGCAAATATGAATCGAATGAGCTAGCCACATGTTGTAATAGCGATTTTGAGAAGAAAATTTTGCGTGGTGTCAGCACCTGCATTCCTGTTGGTAATTGCGGCTTTTGTGTGACTGCTGCATCGGCAAACCGCTTTTTTTTGATTAAGTGTACTACAAGACCGACATCATGTATACACTTTTATCGGAAATCAATTTATGAACTAATATTTTTGTGCTTTTCCGCAGTCTTATCCTGTAAATCTTGAATGGGACAATGTCGCTGGCCTCTCCCCTGAAAATCAAGACGAACGCCCTTGGTGGTATAACAACGTGCACTATCCCACGCGGCAGGCTGTGCAGCGAGCATTCGAGGAGGGCACAGAAGACTTCAGGGATGTAATTGAGGATGAGTACAAGCTATTGAAGGAAGAAGACAGGAAGGAGGGGAAACGGCTTGCACACTTGAAAGCCATGAGGGAAAAGGAGAAAAAAGGATTCTGAAGTATTCTGTCGTAGTAATTAGCAACTATTTATTCAGAATATTTCGATATTCTCCTGTCTATCTTCTCTTAAAGCAACTTTTGGCGTTCCTCGGCGCTAAGTACGAAAAGCTGAACACAGATCATCACGGAACTCAAAAACATTGCATCAATGTTTTAAAATTAATTTAAAAAATTGCTTGGTGGAGACTGCGAAATTGGTTTAGATGTTTGGCCATGTTTCACTCGTTCCTTTCAAAACCTGTGTGTACAGCTGAAATTACACAACAGTCCATCAACTAACAATATTGTAGGCCACAAACGTGAAGATGCAAACTGCACTTCAAATGGAGCTTTCAAAATAGTGACATGATGTGCCATTGCTCTCATAATGAGCCTTCTCAGTTTTAATAATGCCTTCGTTCATGTTCTTTGGCTTTCCGTGTTTTCCGCGTGCTCTAGTATCCTCGGGGAGGCACTAGCGACGAAGGAAAATGCAAAGTTTTTGTCGAATCTCTTGAAACCAACGCCACCTCGCATAGGTAACTGCATTGAAGCGTTATTTTCCACTTTTCATGCACTCCGTCTTGCAATAACAGAGGTGAAGCTCATGCCCAACAAAAAGTTCCGACTAACCCGCAAAGAGATGGAGGCCATAGTGTCTAACCTCAAGCAGGAAATACAAGAACAGGCAAAACGAATATGAAGCATTAGGATTATTTGCAGAACAAAATACGTGCACGTTTCAGGTTGCGAAGGTGCAACAGCAATTCGCGCCATCAGACATTCTATCCCAGGGCCTCACCTATCCTGTGCATGTACTCCCCGGAACCCCTTTGGCCAGTGCCTCCGTAAGAAAACACCGAGAAATAAGCATTGAAACAGGAACCAAAAGAGAGGTGCAGAATCAAGGGTTTGAGCAACTCGACTCAAACCCTCCAGACGCTCAACATTTGCAGGGCCTACGAGCGATGGTAAGCAAACCTGTCATGAAGAGAAGCAACAGTTGTAAATAGGTCTATCTATTCGTGCTTCTGCAAATGTAGCAAATACCGAACAGAGAAATACAACCGCCTCTCGAACAGCCTAAAATGGAAGCAGGCAGCTTGAAAGATCTCTGGGATTCATTGTCCGAGGTAGGTGAATGGGGACAAAAAACTTATTTGGAACCGCCTAAGAACCTCCGTGTAGCTGTCTGAAGTGTCACAGAAGATGGAGGATAAAGAAATACAAAGTTTGCCAAACGGTGAGTGGTTTTGCATTCCTAGCATCTGGCGTACCCCAAGAAACGCATCCGGACCAACAGGCCCCTTGTGAGGCGTCAGTGCTGCTTCACTGTGGTCTCTCTAGGCAGTGCAATACATGACATGTGCGCCTAATGATGTAAAAGCGTTGAATTGTAGCCGCATTCTCAAAATCCGCTGTCTCCAATGGCGGTGAATGCAAACGTCTCTTCCGCGCTGATCCGTATTTCATGCCGCGTCCGTCCTAGGGCGCAGAGCCGCTACACTACATCAAAATTAAATTGATGCTTAGTGTCATGAAGGAAACCCATTTCAGAGAACTGCAACTGCGAAGTAGCTTCATCAGAAGATCCGCAGCAGTCCGCGTAGCAATTATTATCAGCTGTTCGCAGACCACAGGTAGTCAACAGGAAATAAGGAAAAAAGCTGCACGGAGCATTCGGCCATTTTTGGAAGTTGACACATATTGGCAGAGTCACACAATGGGCTGTACGGGGTAATACGGGACGTCTGGGGACGGTGTACTCCGTTCTGAAGCGTTCATTAAACATAGTCCCTAGCCGGAATCGTAACCGCACTCCTTGATTGTAGGATGGCTTTTACGACACTAGATAATAAGGTTTCCTCCACCAAAGAGGGTGCGTTTGTAGCTTGGTCCGGCCGGAGCTAGGCATATGGATGTTGCCACCAGCTCGTGCAAAAGGCTCGAGTAGCGTGGCCAGCAATCCACACACCAGCACATGGAGAAGGCAGTAAAGGTGGGTCCTGCTGCACGCATAGTTTGCTGCATTTCAGTGGCGTGCAACACAAGGGACGGAAATGAATGGGGATTCACACGCAAGAATGCATTTGGCACCCCACGAAGCGTTATCGAGTTCAGCTTTTTGTGAATTTAAGAAACTTTGCTTTGATCCCAAGGGTAGAAGTTGTGGCCCTCATGAAAAACACTTCTTGCACTAGCGCCACTTGAAATACACTGATACATAAGGAGTTGGCACAAAAATTGCATTGAAGTGTCAGAATCCGAGGTTTTCGTCGGATCCCTAGGCTTTTTTTTGCGTAGTTTGTTTTAACCTGAAACGAACAAGCGAGCAAACCACGAAGAGTTCTATGGAGCCGCTTGCCAGCAACAATGAAGATGCCTGGTGTTGTGGGCAAGGGTTTTATGCCGATCCACTCATCTATGCACCTCTAAACGATAAAATAAGGTTCCCAGAATACGTATTAAGAATAATAGTTTAGGAAAAAAAGAATTATAGACGATATGCGATAAAACGGCCAACTAGACATACAAGATATGTGAACGGGCGGCCGCCACGGTCCATAAACAAGGGACACCCTCGCTACCCCAGGGGCAGCTCATGACTCAAATTCTTAGAGTTTTGCCATCCATTATTTTAAGAACGAAATCAACTGTTATGTGCACAGAAGGTTAGCTATGTGGCACTTTTCAATTGCTTCTTCCCACTTAAGTTGTCAATGTCCACCTTTGGGCAGTACCTTCAGTTCCGAGGCTTGTGAGTCAAAGCCTAGGCCGCAAAAAAGGTAGTATACTTTAGAAGGCCGAAGCCCACCTTCCTCTGCTGCTCAGTTTGTTCATAGCCGGCTGAAGGCTGTTTCGTGAGGCCACGATCCCCCCTTGAATACTGCCTTAGCTTTCCGGGTGATTTCCTTCGCACTCGAGGCAGGTGGGAAGGCAGCAGCCCCTCCGCTGGCGGGATGGGCCTTCTGCGCGTTTGGTTGCAATGAGCCCACGGAGGGATCGCTTGACCCCTCGCCTGCCAACGCCGAACGCGCTAAACACAGAGAGCCGTCATGGATTTCACGGGAACTCTGCGCCATCCTGGCGAGATGCATGCGGGGGGCCCCTGGACGAGAGCCAGCCAGCCCTCTTTGGGGTACTTCCTCGATAATATCTGCTGCTTTGACGCTGACTGCAGGGAGAAGCTCATGAAGGCCCTAAAGCCCCAGTCAGTCGACGATTTGATCCTTTGTTGCGTTGAACCCTTCTCCTACCCGTTAGAGAGAGAAGGCGGCAGCGGCAGTGGCAGCATATCCACGTGCATGAAGGACTTAAAGGCGTTTCTCGCCGCTGAATCAGCAAAGCAGGAGCCCATGCAAGCCATCGCCTCCGGTGCGGGGGGTTCTGCATTCGTATCCTCGCAAGACACCACGCTCGGCGACAGCTTCACTACGACTGTCTCGTTTCCCAGTGCAGACTGCAGCATCTGCGACTCCCAAAGTGGAGGCACTCCCTACGGCACTCCTCAGGGGAGCTTCCAGACCATAAGGAGGCCTTCTTTCGAGTCCGTGATAAAGGCTGTAGATGTGGCATGGCTGGCATCGGCTTGCCCCTTTGCCGCCATCGGGCTGGCACGGGAGCAGACGGAGCAGCTGGTGGAGAGACTTCTAGCATTTGTGCTCCAGTTTTTGACGGAGATGCAGTTTGTTATGCTTCGCGTACGGCTTACGGGCGGTCTCCTCCCCTGAGGGTTTGGGAAAATTGGGGCTTTCACGATTCCTGGCTTCGCAGAGGCTGCATGCAAAGGCGGCTTTTTCTTGGATCCGAATTGGGGGGATCGGTGGCGTGGGAGTATTGAGGGTCACTTCGACGAGTGTGTGGTGGGGTTGCTTGTGTGTGTGCGCACTCAGGAGAACATGCGTGAAATAGCGGATGCCCTCGTAACAGGGGGCTGTGTCTCCTTTGATGAGCTTACGGAGCTGCTGCTGCAGCATCAGGCACAGCAGCAGAAGGAAGATACAGGGGGGGGAGATCAGGCTGCAGCAGGAAGAACAGCGGTGCTCAATGCCTCCGTCTTTCTGAGGGATCGCTTCAACCTGAGCCTCTCGCAGAGCCAGCAGCTGCTGCTGCTGCTGCAGCGGGAGCATCACCTCCACCAAGCACTGAAAAGCAGCGAAGCCCTCCAGCAGCCTTCAACGGATAAGGATTTTAAAAAAGTCGCTGATCGGGTAGGTGTGGGTGACCCTGCTTCTTTCGCTGCAGCGAAGAGTGCTCCTGTTGCATCTGCTGCGCAATACGCACATAGCCGTGCTTGCAGCTTCAAACGCAAGGAAAATATCTCAACTTATCTTCCCTAAAGTGTGCGGTCTTTTGCGCCGCGTCTTCCCGCGCGGCACAGCAGAGGTCTGCGAAGGGTGGATGCACGCTTTGCTATTTCTGCTCAGATATACTCTTACGTTCACTTCGATCGCTTCGTCTTTGACCAAATCATCGATACACCCTACCTGCAGCGCCTTCGCTTCCTCTCGCAATTGGGGGCGTGCCGGTTCGTATATCCCTCAGCTACCCATACGAGATTTGAGCATTCTCTCGGTGAGAGTCTGGAGACCGTCGTTCGCGTCAAGATGCGCCTCCCCATTCTCTTTACAAGCAGCCGCAGCAGACAGGACCTTGCGCTTGCTTGCTGCGCGCTTCTGGAAAGAATAGTGCATGTGATGCCTGATTTAACCTGTCACGTGCTCAATTTCGTCTTCCCCTATCTATTCTCATGGCCTTTACCTGTAGCACACACTTCTTCTCTGCCCTCCAGCAAAAACTCATGCGATGTGATGCTTCTCTATCTCTCTATATCTCTGTCTCTCTCTCTCTGTATCTATCTCTGTATATCTCTATCTCTACTTCTCTCTATCTCTACTTTTTATTTCTCCCTCTCTCTCTGTGTCTGTCTGTCTGTCTCGCTCTCTCTCTCTGTCTGTCTGTCTCTCTCTCTCTACTTCTTTCTCTCTCTCTACTTCTCTTTCCCTCCCCCCTTCCTATACTTTTTCTTTTTCGGCCTGAGCCCTAGATGGAACAGCGTCGCCCACGTGTATACATATATATATACATATATATATAAATCGACAGCCTGCATGCGTGCAAGTTTGTGCTTTCGACTCCTCTGTTGGCTCTTCCTTTTTGCATGCAGGAGTCGGTTCGTTGGGGCGTCGTTATTTTTCACTCCTCGAGAGGAAGCAGCGGGGGTCTTTGCAGCTTCTTTCGGATTTTCTAGGTGATGAGGGCTGTTACTCAGGCTGCGCATACGGCATGCCGTGCGAGGATTTTGCAGCTTCTCTTTGGGGAGGCAGCGGATGTCTGTGGAGGAGAAGGCCTCCCTGGGCAGCCTACGCCGGCCTAGGGGGGGGAAACGGCGCAGGTAGCAGCAGCCTCTACAGAGCATGTCAGGAAGTACGGCGGCTAACTCAGTGCGTGGAAATTGCGGGGCTTTGCCACGACGTTGGTCATGGGCCCTTTAGCCACTCCTTTGAGGCAGACTTCATCAATCAGCTCAGAGGCCATCTGCCAGGTGCGCCATACGCACACGACGCATGCGCAGGCACAGATGCGGGAGGCCTCTCGGGGAGTTTCTCTCCAGCTGACCATGTGGCGCCAAAGTGGTGCCATGAGTGGATGAGCAAAGAAATGGTTGACAGACTCCTGGGAGACATCATCGACAGAGGCGGACAAACTGAATTCGAAGTCGCAGACATTCAAGTCATCAAAACCATGATCGAAGGTGTCGACCCCAAGTGGAAGGGGCCCCCAAGCTGGGAACCTATCGACGCCCTCACTCGAGCTGCCTTCGACATTGTGGGTAAGCGCACAAGAAGGACCCTCAACGCGTAAATACGCATACAAATATACGCGAAACAGCACACACATGCACATACAAATACTAATCTATAAGTCTCTCTCTCTATTCATCTTTCCATTGATATATACATGTACATATATATAGGGAAATAGATATATGTATAGGTATAAGTATAGATATATAGATATATATATATAAATATGTACATATATATAGTTATATTTATGGAGAGAAATCTGTCCTTCATACACACAATACACTGACACAATATATACATTCGTTCTTTTTCGCTTGAGTTTGTGTTGCTCTATCTTTTGTTGGCCACGCCCTTCTCGCCCTTGTCTGCTGCCGTCTCGTGTTCTGTCGCCTCACGGCTGCCGCATCGCTTTCAAGTTTTTCTTTTCACGACTCCAGCATGCACCGCCGTTCCCGCGCTTTTTCCTCTCCCTTGTGCTGCTGCTACCTCCCTTCTGGATGTGGGATGCATCTGCGCAGCCAACAAGCGGACCGGCCTGGACGTCGATCGTCTTGACTACCTTTGTCGCGATTCTTCATTACTGCCACCCCAAAATTCGCTGCCATCTCCCTCCCCCATGCGCCTGCTAATGCATTCGCGCGTCATCGGAGGGGAGATCTGCTTCAACGTTAGCGAGCTGCACGCGGTCTTTGGGGTTTTCTACACCCGATACTCCCTCTTCAACTTGGTTTACCTTCATAAGAAGGCAAGGCTTGAGACGGCGCAAAAAACACATTCTTACCCACATAGATATATGCACATACACCTACACGCACATGCACATGAGGATGAAAGGGGAGAAGCCGCAGCGCTTCAACGAGCACCTGCGTCGTGTACCACAATCTCGCTAACATCTAACTGTCATTTCCTGTATCTTTATGTTTTCCCGTGCATCTCTACTTATGTGTTTTTATATGCGCGTGCGCACGTAGAGAGAAAAAACTTGCATGCATATCTACTACTATATATATTATATATATGTTTGATGCAATCAAGGGCAAGTGCCCACGGAGCTCTTCTTTGTAAGTGTTTTGAGGGCAGTGTGGGGGCAAAGACGCCACCCCTTGTGATCTTCTTCAGTCTGCGTCCGCTTCCTTTCTGCCTCTTTTTGTGTTTCTGTCCCTCTCTTTATGTCGCTGCTTGCTGCTGCATAATGTCTATGGCCTAGCATTTCCGTGGAGGCCTCACTTGTTTTAGATGGAGAAGCTTGGCAAGCAGCGAGCAAGCGAGCGCTCCAGCTGAGCTGTCAACGCATGTCGGCAGGGCAGGGTGCATGGAAAAAAATGAGCCCTTCTCTTGGAATAGAGACGTACAATTGAACGTTTTTTCCTCTTGCGGCGTTGGACTTTCTTCTTTCTCTCTCTGGCTGTCTGTGGGGTAACCTGTTGGGTAGCTGCATGTCTGGCTTTGCTTGCCGACAGGAGTCTCCATGAATGTTTGTTTGCCGCCGTTGATTGGTGCCGGTTGGCTGTCTTTAGGTGCGAGCTATTGAGCTGATGATCGCCGAGGCTCTGCGGGAAGCAGATCCAGTATTTCTCTGGAGCGAAGCCGTTCATGACGTAGGTGTATATCTTGCTGCCTCTGAGTGCAGCCGCGGGTGTCGCCTTCTGCGCCACACGTGTTCGGTGATTCTGTCGCTCCCTTCTGCTGTCTTCGCTCTGCCATCGCTCTAGGTAGACGAGTTTCTGACGCTCACAGACGAGGGTTTATTGCGAGACATCCTTCGGCATCCGGTAATCACGGGTCGACAGCCTCTCGCGTCTTCTTCCTTGACAACGGATCACTTTGAGGCACTGCAGCGCGCCAACGTCCTTTTACGGAAGGTTACTCACGGACGAAAAAGCGGAGACCTCTACAGGGTAGTCAGCACTGCCAACTTTGGGCACGACAGAAACATGGCCGAAATTCGGGATGTCTGTACACCCGAGCTCATCGCCCGGCTCTCGCACGGAAAGGTGCACGCCGAAGATATTGTGCTTGACTGTAGGGCGAAAAAATGTGCAAAGCTTTTTAAGAGGCTAAAATATCAAAAAGCGGCCATGGATACGTCCATGTGCCCCTTCGACACAGACGCGATCTGATCTGCACGCCAAGGGGCTTATTTATGGGCAAGGCCGCCCTCGCGATAGAAAGAGCTGCCGTCACGTATCTTTTTTTCTTCTGAGCCTTCGTGTGTATCCTCTGCTTCTCCTTCTGGCTGACTTTGCATGTCCTGTGCGCTTTTCCTGATCGAGCTGGATGCATCTCTCGCTTGCTGCTTCCGTGTTGTTTGAATGCCTTTTTAGCAAGCGCACGAGCATGCGGGCCTGCTGCCATGTGCCCTCCCTCCCTGGCGTATACGCTGCGGATACAGGGCAGCACCTGCACTACGGTATGGGAGCTTCTTCCCCTTTTTCTTCCGTCCACTTCTACTCGGCAAGTGATCCGAGCACCGCCTTTTTGGCCCCGAAGGATAAGCTCGAGGCCTATCCTCTGTATTATGACACGCATCAACTCCGGTGGGTTAGGGGGCTAACTTTCGCAGCCTTCCAGCCAAGCTTTCTTGCCGTCCGCCGCTTGACACACCTCCAGCCCTCCCTCACTCCGCTGCACTGCACTTGCAAGAGCTTTCGTTGAACTCTCGCCTGCCAAGACACCTTGAACTGCCACTGGTGCTGCTGCTGCAATTGCTGTTGGTGTGCTGCCTCAGAGTTTACTGCAAGAACAACACCAACGTAGAATCAGCTAAAGAGGCATTCAACGCCTGGTGCCGTTTGTACAATGTTTCCGAAGAGGTCAGTGTAGGGGTAGCAGTGAAGCGGAGGGCACATCAAAAAAACACAGCCACCGCCTTTCGTGTGTGTTTGTTGTGCTTTTGATTCGCTTTTCGGCCTTTAAATGCTTTTTGCCTAAAGCCCGCTGTGCGCGAATCTCGCTGAAAGGCGGTGCCTCCTCTCTTTGGAGACTCCCGTAAACGACGCCTTTTAACCCCAGGCCTTATTTTTAAATGCTCAGTGCCGGATGTGGGCTTGTTGCGTGGCTGGCTTGGCCCCTGAAATCCCGCTGTTTGTTGTTGTTCGGCGTTGTTTTTGCTATCGTTTTTGACTGTTTGCTGTTTGTTGCTGCTGCCTCTTTTCGCTCTCTCCTTCGCAATCGCCCTCCGTCTCCTCTGCTTCAATCTTCCTTCATCTCACGTCATGCGCTGAAGGATGCGGACTTCCAAGGGGGAAGGCGTTCTTGTCTGCCGGCCTCCCCTGCCCTTGCCCGTTCTTATTTGTGTTAGTCTTTTCTTTTTGTATCAGTCTTTCCCTTCTGCGTTGGTCTTGTCTTTCTGTGTTAATCTTTCTGCGTTAGGCTTTTTTTGTATGAGTCTATTTCTTTTTGTGTTAGTCTTTTCTTTCTGTATTAGTCTTTTGGGGTTAGTTTTTTCTTTCTGTATTAGGCTTTTTGGGTTAGTAGTCTTTTCTTACTGTATAAGTCTTTTTGGGTTACTGCTTTTTCTTTCTGTCTCAGTCTTTTCTTTTTGTGTTGGTTTTTTTGTATTAGTCGTTTCCTTTTGTGTTAGTCTTTTCTTTCTGTATTAGTCTTTTTGGGTTACTGCTTTTTCTTTCTGTCTCAGTCTTTTCTTTTTGTGTTAGTCTGTTTTCTTTCTGCGTTGTCCGCTGCCGCCGCTTCAGGCTGATGGGACCCCCGCCGTGCCGCACTTCTGCCGTACGCGCACTCCATTGCGACAGAAGCCGCTTTCTTCCACTCTCTCCTGCTTCGATGCTCTAACTCCCCGCAGCGGCAGCATGACAACTTCCACGTCCTCGCTGCCTTGGCACGGAGCAGCCCCCTTTTCTGCCTACCCGCGAGCAGCAGATTCGGCAGTTGCGCCCACCGAGCCGCTGGCCAGACTTGCGGTGACAGTAGAGACTGCGCGGCAGCTCAGGCAGGCACCTCTACAAACGGCAGCAGCTGCAGCAGCCACTCCTGCGGCTCCAGGAGGCCAACACAGCAGCAGCAGCAGTCCAGCGATGCTGCCCTGCACTCAGCTCGCCACCCCAGAAAGCCATGCAAAACGCAGAAAACTGCCGCTTTGAGAGGCGGCGCAAAAACAACATATAAGCCACGCATGCGCGTCTGCATGAACCCGCCTGCACATACGCATCGTGAGACGAAGCAGAGACTGGCCAGTCTTTGCATCATCCGCCTCTAGCCAAAGCGTCTACAGCAGCACCTCCCGCAGGGGGCCACACAACGCGCTGGACGCCAGCCGCAACGCATGCATGTGCGCAGGCAGAGGGTCAGGCAGCAATCAGGAGGAGCATGCAAAATCACATCATTTGACACACGCACACACATACACAGATACACTCACCTATAACACACACATATATATATCATATACACTCTCGCATAAACTCGCACAATACGCATTCACTCACCCGTAAACTCACACAATACACAGACACTCACACATGAACTCACCCAATACACATACACTCACACATAAACTCACGCAGTACACAGACACACAAGCACTTACACACATACAGACGCGCGCAACAGGCCCTGGACAAAGAGCGGCGGGCTTTCAAGGAGGCAGAAAACGGCACCGAAAATTCTCCTGCCCCTTACTCGTCGAGACTCTCCCCAGGAAAGCATCTAGCCACTACCGTTTTTCGCATGCATCAAAAGCCGAACAAGCGCTCTAGGAGCTGCTGAGTCTGGGAGGTGAGGGGCAAGCGGGGCAAGGGCAGTGTAGGAGAAGCCTCCGAAACCGTTTGGGGCCCCCTGTTAAGGCTGCCGACGAATTTCTTGCCCTCTTGATAAGAGTAGCCTCTGCACGTGGCTATGCGCCAAACAACTGCATAAGCGTTTCCCCATCCCCAACTAGACGATCCGAGAAGGTGCACATGCACCCGTTTCGCCAAAAAAACGAGTATCTTAGCGCCTTCGCAGCCCTTGCTGCTCGTCGCTGGAGCAACAGCAACAGTCCTCACGAGGCGTACAGCAGGGGTGGCCGGTGCCTCTGCTAACTGATTCCATACACGCGTAGATACAATTAAAAGACGCGCATACATACATACAGAGAGAGCTGCAGCCGTGCATGCAGTGCGTCCTTAGAAGCCAGCTTATTTGTGGGCTTCTTCTACTTCTTCTGAGAAAAGCGCTTCGTTCTGCTTCTTCAGCATTTCCCGCAAGTCATAGATGAGCTGACTCTCCCTCGCTGCACGCTCCTCATAGTTGATCATCGCCAAAGCCCTCTGCTCCTCGGCGCTGTACACTTGGTTTTCCTTGCGGATACGGATGGCATTCATCTTGCGATGTCTGCAAGCACGCATGCAAGTTCAGAGCATCTATAGCGCTTGCATATATATATATATATATACATATACATATGTATCTATATTCATGTATGTATACATAGATGCAGGTATATGCAAGTATCTATCAATATGCATCCATATATCTATCTATATGCATCTATGTATCTATAAATAAGCAACGCAGCCAAGGCAGCCATGCAGCAAAAGCCCTAAGAGCACCAGCCGGAGGGGAGGAGTCGCAGAATGAAAGCATCGACAGACGGCAAGCACAGATCAGCACACACGGCTGCAGCAACGTAGCGCTACCCAAAGAGGCAGAATTCGTGGCATTTCATTACAGACAATCCACAGACACCCTCCCCCCTTGCTTCTCTGAGAAAGAGCTGCGCGAAACGAATTCCCGCTTCGTTTTGCGCAGCAGGCTGCAAAGCGGAGGACGAAGGACAGTAATCCTAGGGTATGACGTGCCTTGAGCCGCTCATGACATATCCAAGATTTTCAAAATTCGAAATTTCCTCGGCTGTTAAACCAACCTAAAACGCACAGATTAGCACAAGCCCCTACAGCATCATGGCACCCCTCCTTCCCCCCGAGATACCAAAATAACACCCCCCAGCAAGCAAGAAAACGCGAGCAAATGCCAACTCCTCGCTTCGCCGCAGCGTGTGCTTCAGACGGCACATGCCTTTTTCACACGCCTAGAAGATGGCTGCAACTTGCCTCTCCTCTTCGAGGAATACGCTTGCCTTCCTGGACGAACTGCGCAATGGCTTCACCTTCTCCAGGACGCAGAGCGAAACCGTAGCTGCGCATACACCCCATTGCAAAATAGCCACCCACCTACTCACCCCATTCGCGTGAAAAAAGAAAAGCGCTCACAGTTCCAGCAAACTACAGACTCCCCTCTTGCCACTGACGGAAGCCACCAACAACACACAGACTGCTCGTGAGCCTAAAAACATGCCCTCTCCTTCTCCCCTTCCTTCTCTTTCTCTCCTTCTCTCCCCTTCCTTCCTTCTCTCCCCCCTTAAGCCTCTAGACTAAAACAATCAGCCTCGCGTACTCCACGTTCTTGTGCGCCAACTTATTCGTCACTTCCATCGGTTTCGGTCCAACACCGTCATCCTCAGAGGAACTGCCGTCCTCTTCCGCTTCAGCTCCTGAGCAGCCGCGCAGTACCGTCGTTCCAAAAGTCACGAACATAGAGACGCACAAGACAGAGACTCACAGACTCAAGGGCAGCAGCTACAGACACACGCAGCAACGCCTAGTAGCCTATCCCGCCTTCTTCGCTTCTACCCACCCTTCTCCCGCGAGCTGCACTGCACAGAGGGGCAAACACACACTCACTCTGCTGCAGCTCAGCAGCTGCTGCTTCCAACACGGCCACATTAGGCCTTGCAGCCACCAGTGCTGCTTCTGCTGCTCCTTCTCTTGCTGCTGCTGCTCCTCCTTCTCTCGCTGCTTCTGCTGCTGCAGGAGGCGAAGCAACTGCCGCAGCGCCAGCGTGGGAAGGCTGTCGCATTTCTGGCTCGTCTTCGCTGCTACTGCTACTGCTGCTGCTACTGCTGCTGCTGCTCTTGGAATGCTTCTTCTTCTTTTTCCCTACAAAAAGACAAGGGCAGCACAAAAGCCGATCCGATTACAAAAGCGAAGGCTGCCGCGTTCATCCCCCCACAATGCGTCCCTACACCGTCGCCTTCCACAGCCTCCCCACACCTTTGCCGTTCTTGCGTTTCTTGTGCTTCCGGTGCTTCTTTTTCTGCTTTTTTCGACTGAAAGCGTCGGAGGAGGGAGAGCGGGTTCGCTTTTTCTTCGACAACTGGGAGCTGCCGCTGCTGCCGCCAGTGAGGGGCGCCTCAGCAGCACGAAGTGTCTCGGCTGTTCTCGCATGCATCTTTCCTTGCCGCACTAAGTCATCTGCAGCGCTCGCCGCTGTGCGCGCGCCCGTCTCCTTGAAGAGGCGTCCTACCTCCTGCAGATCCTTGTAGTACCCCTGACCTAAGGAAACGGCAGGCAGCAGAAAACGTTCAATGAAGGCGCAGACGGAGACAAAAAGCGCAGGAAGGCCTTTTCCTAGCAAACCCCACAGACGCGGCAGACAGTGGGCACGCTGAGCCAGCCTCGCAGAAAAGCTATTTTTCCTCTTCCCCCGTGCACTCTTCACTCCCCTAGATCCAGCTAGCGCGTAAAGCGCAGGAGCAGGAGCACATGCCAGCTCTTCGACCTTCCCAACAACCGCAAGGACTGCAGGAGAAGACGTTGCTGACGCTCCCGTTCCGTCTGATTACCTTCGGCTCCCTTCTTGAAAACGTATCCCAACTTCCCTCCCCGGAATTCCTTCGATGCGACGAACTCAGCCCCCAAGACTGAAGACAGCTCTGCAGCACAAGAGGCGCAAGCGGCAGCAGAAGCGAACCACGCAGATGGCTGCGAAGAAAAATCGCCAGCCTCGTCACCAGCAGCAGTACAAAGACGCGCGCATGCAAAAGAACCAGCTGCTTGCGAACTTGCGATCTCTTGTTGCAGCATGCCATGGCGCTCCCGCAGCCGCTTCTGCAGTTTCTTCTGCATCTTGTCAGCTGCGTGCTGCCTCCGCTGCTCCGTCTCTTCGAAATTCTTCTTCATCGCAGCCTCGAGACGAGAGCCTTCCATGCCTGGCGCCCTCAGCAACAGCCCTCCTTCTGGCTGTTCTTGTTGAGGCTGTCGAAGTTGCTTGGCGGCTGCGTTGGAAGCTAAGTCTTCGCGCGCGTCGCCACTGCTGCTGCTCCTACTGCTGCTACTCCTACTCCTACTGCTGCTACTCCTACTGCTGCTGCTCCTACTGCTGCTACCCCTGTTGCTGCGTTTTTTTTGCCGCTTTCTCTTGCCCGTCGCTGCTTTCGCTGGATTAGCGCTGTCTGCCGTCCCGTGCTCTGCCCTTGAGATCTTTTCACGCCACTTCTTCTGCTGCTCAATCTCTGCCTCCGTCATTTGAGCTCTGCGGACGCGATCTCGCTCTGCAGCAGCCCCTTCGCCGCCGACAGCACATGCACTCCCAGCAGACACTGCAGTCGGCTGCGAGAGGCCTTCCAAGCCGGCAGCTGCTGGTGCTGAAGGCTTGACTTTCCAGCGCGTTGGACTCAACTCGCGTTCATCTCGCCAGATCCTCCCCGCCTCGAATGCAAGACTCTCTCTTGTTTGCAGCCTCTGCGTCTGCCATTCCAAGAAGCGCAGCCACTCGCTCTTCGGGTGGTTCGGCCCTAAGGGAAGCCTTCCCGAGAAGCGCAGCCTCTCCAGAGGGTCGCCTCTGGCTCCCCCCCCCCCCCTATTGCTGCCTCTTCCCCTCGCGTGCGTGAAGAGCGGGGGGGGAGCTTCTCTCTTGGAAAAGCCTCTTCCCACTCACGATACTGACGGGAAGAAGCGGGGAGGACGCTCCCCCCTTCCCCCCGACGCCAATACGCAGCGTCGCTCTTCGCGCAGTGATCGCGTCGATCCTCGCCAGAGAGCCTTGCACGCCGCTGCTGTGCTTCGAAGAAACTCCGACCCTCTTGAAAAGAGGAACCTTCCCAGGAATCATCTCGTCTTCCGCTTCTCGCCCCTCTTTCTGCATCATCTCGAGCGTCGTGCTGCCGATATCTCGCCGCAGTCCTCCTCTCTCTTGAAGCCTCCCGGGAGTAAGCGTCTTCCCTTTCGCGACGCATCGCGCCCCTTCTACCTGCTTCTTCTTCTTCTTCTCTTTCCTTCTTTTCACGCCAGTGATACTCGCGGTAGGCATCCATGCGCGAAGACGCCCTCGACGGCCCTTTGTCGTGAAAACGGCTATCGCGATCTTCAGCTATTTCTTCGTCGTACTCGCCGCTTCTCACGCGGCTGCTGAATGCAACGCTATCCGCGCCATGCCCTTGACTTCGCCCTTCCCGTACAGACACCTGAAGATAGTGCTTTGGAGCCTCTCGAGAAACACAGGCGCCCTCCCTTGCCACAGAAGTCGCTGCTACCGACGTGTCAGCTGCAGCGGAGACAGCAGAAGCAGCAGCGACTGCCGTGTGCGCAGCAAAAATATGCGCCGCAAGATGCTTCGCTTGCTCCTGCTGCTGCTCCTGCTGCTGCTGATGACGCTGAATCGCCCGTTCCCCGATTTCCCTCACATGCCGCTCCTCCTTCTCCTGCATCTCTTGCTGCTCTCGCAGCTTTCGCTTCAGCCGCTGCTCCTGCTCCTCCCGCGTCCTATCCAGCACTGCCTTGGCACGAGCCAAAGCTCCTGCCATGTTGCGCTGACGATCTTCTCTACCAGAAGAAGTCACAGACGCCTTCAGCGGTACCTCGTCTGATTCTCTGAAGCGTCTGCCTTCCGAGGGGGATCGCCGTTCTCGCCCTCTGCCATCCTTCCTTTCCCCCCTTTTCGCTTCCCCGTGCTGCATCGCTCGCCGCCTTCCCTCCAGCTCCCTCTCCCTCTCCCTGTCTTCGTCTTCTTCTTCTGAAGCCCAATGCCGACGCTCCCTCTGCCGTTCCCTTTCTCTGTCTCTGCTGTGGTCTCGACTCCTCCGCGCCGTCTCGCTATGCGAGTTCGCCCCTTCATCAGCGGCGCTCTCACGCTGCTCTCTTTGAAACCGTCTTTTTTCCCCCCCCTTCTCTCGTTCAGAATTTCCCTTCTCCATTTCTCGACGGCTCTCCCGAGAGCCCCCTGCCTCCGCAGAGGCATTAAGCAGCTCCTCACGCCGGGCAGTGCGCCGAGACGCTTCCTCGGAAGCCGTCCTCGCCATCCGACCGCTCACGAGGAGGACTCTCTCTCTCTCTCCCCCTCCCCGTGAGGCGTGCTGCCGCAGCAACGCTGCCTGCTGGTGTTGCCAACGCTCCAATCAGGAGAAGAAGAGGCGGCAGAGGACGGGCGCCAGCAGCAGCTTCACCGCTGCAGCAGAAACGGAAGGTACACGGATCCCGCAGTATCACGAGCCAAGATGACCGCATGCGGCAGCATGCAGCAGCGATCAACACCGGGTAATACAGCGCAGAGGCGCGCGCCTTAAGACTAGCTTTGCTGAAATCTTCGCAAAAAGAACATAGGGACGGGGGCGTTCCCTCTACAAGGAGATCCACGCAGCTTTCTAGCGGCTTTCAAGTGGCACAGCGCAACACCAGCCAGACGACGGCCGAAGGCCAACAGCCCCTAAGCGCAGAAGCCACTGCATGCCACGCGGCGAACAAAACGCCTCGGAAAGACATGCATACGCGTCAAAAAAACATTCATGTACACCTATATGCGTCCTGGCGAATTGAACCATGCCATTGCCGAGGGGTGTCTGCCTTCGCGCATCTTCGATTTGCTGTATGCGACGCCCCTGCGCCACCGTCTGCCATTGCGCAGCGATATTCCTAATAATTTTTGCCTGAATCAACCCATTCAAAGACGCATTTTTAGAATACATGCTTGATCGATGAGTCATTCGCGCACTTGTAGCGCGATGCTTCGTGTCTATTACGCCCCGCTGCCACGCTCCCTTCGCCCTCGCCGCAGCAGCACGCTCTAGATTCATGAACTCTGCGCCGCAAAAGGCATTCGCGAAAGTGTTCCGCTTCACATTTTTCTCGAGTTTTCATGGCTTCCCGGAGGCAACAAAAGCCGCAGCATCAGCACTCGAAGCTGCTGCAGAGGCCGTGAACCTACGCGTGGCCAATCGTTGTCTGCCGCGTCGAACTCCCCGTTGTCTACCGTGTCGAGTTCCCCTCGGTCCTACCCCGCATATTCCTCTCTCTGGCGCTCTCTGCCACTTATTTCTGCCAATTACAACTAATTTTTTCAAGTTAAATCACCCAGGCCATTCAACAGAAAACCCTGCCCCCCCTCTTTTTCGGAGGCTCCCCCTGAATCTTCAGGAATACAGCCGCAACATCTGCACCACCAAGTACACCAGCAGCACCAAGTACAGCCACTCCTCCGCCTCCTTTCGTGCAGTCGCAATGAGCAGCAGCAGCAGCAACAGCGCAAACAGTGCCAGCCTGTCGATTGGAGATGCTGGAGACGGCGTGGTCATGATCAATGCCACGCTGAAACGGACGCCAGCGCACGACGCAGCGCTTCTTATCCTCAAGGGTGCTGCTTGCGTTGTCTTTAAGCTTCCCACCGGAAGAAGCACTCGCAGAGTCAAGTTTTCGGTATGGCATTGCGTCTTCAGCCCCCCCTCTGACAGCGAGAATAGGGCATTCTGAATCCCCTTTTCCCCCGCCTCGTGGAAAGCTGTTCAAGTGGCAGAGGAGGCGATCAGCGCATCATGTCTTCAGGACGCGTTCATAAACGCGCATTGCTCAATAAGCCTGTCTTTTCCATGCATGTGCCAACCTTTTTGCGGTGTGTGTTTCTCGGGTGGCCCCCCTCCCCCGGCTGCAGAAGGGATGCTGCGGCACGTTGACTATAGGACCTGTACCAGAAGCACCAGGAAGCGCTGAGCAGCACCATCTGCAAGCCATCGTCGATGCAGTTGTAGAAGAAGACAGGAGCATCCTGTCCTTCGAGGTGTCTAGGGCAGTCGCAGACAGGCGATACGGCGAGTCTTATTTGGACGATTTCGGCATACCTGCCAGCGTGCAACAGTCGGTCGAATCTCCCGAAATTCGCAAAGCTCCCAATGATGGCCCCTTTCCGAAGAAACAGTGCTGCTTCGAACTGCCCCCATGCCTGTGCGAACGTCGTCGCGGCTTCGTACGGGGTAGTGATTTGGGGGGTGTTGCATGCGTGCATGCGTGCCTGCCTGCCGCAGGGTTCGCATCTGCGCGATCCCAGACTGCGCCATCAATGCCAATGGTGGGTTTAGCGCGTCTAGGCCTTCGAAACGTGTTGCTTGCTTGCTCTCGCTGCGTCTGTCTCCCTCTTTTGCCTTGGTCATTTGCTTTCGATGGGTTCCTGCATGCATCGTTGCGCACCAAGTGGGGCTTGGCGAGGTGTTATATATATATATTTATTTATATACATGTTTGAGGTAAGGAAGCCACACAGCCTCGGGGGTTGCTGGGTCTGCTGTGTGTATGTCCAGCCTATCCGGTGCTGCGATCTACGGGCATGTTGGAGAGAGTGAGCGTCACGGAGTTGAAGCACAATGCTGCGAAAGAAACGCTGGATATTGGATTCACCTTTTCTGTCCCCGACAGCTTGATGGGCTGCCCCCTGGATGCGAGGCACCTCTCGACGCTGCTCCCTTCTTGCGAAGAAGAAGAACTTCCAGAGCTTGCACAGGTGGGGTTGGGCGTGCGCCTTTGCGAACACGCACCAGTGCACATCACACACATGCACACACCCGCCGTTTTAGCGCTTGCAGGATCAAAGGGGACGGCGGATGTGCTAGAGATAAGGGCCTTGGTGTATGGCGAGGACGCTGCAGGGACGGGAAGTGCGATGGGGGGAGATGGTGGCGCAAGAATGCTGTTGCAACGAGTTATGTGGTGAAGGGGGGGAGGGCAGAAGGAAGCAGCAGAAGACACGACTGCGGCTTTGGGTTTGGTGTCTCTCTGCATGCAGTTGTTACCTCCGTCAGGCGTGGAGGCTGCTAGAGAAGAAGCGGATGATGGGGATGACGGACAGGTGATCACACCCTGGGAAGTGCAGGGAGAAGATGGCGGCATCAACTATGACAAGCTCTTGAAGAAATTTGGATGCTCGCCTGTTACACCCACCATTATTCAGCGGTAAGGGAGGGAGGCAGGCAGGGAGGGAAGGCGTTCGCGCATGGCGATACGGGGGACCGCATTACGCCTCAAGTTCGCGCTTGCAGCAAGCGTCGCGCTAAAACGCTGTCGAGGCATTTGCTCATCTTGGACCCAGTGTTGATCTATACATATATATATGTCTCGCGACTTTTCCTTGCGGCTTTGCAGGATCGAGGAGGCAACCGGCCAGAGAGCGCATCATATGCTGCGGCGTGGCTTATTTTTCTCGCATCGCGATCTGGATGTCTTGTTGGCTTATGTTCTCAAGTGCAAGGCTGCCTCGAAGCCAGGCGAAGGGGACAAGACGGAGAAAGCCGCTACCTGTCCATTTTATTTGTACACAGGAAGAGGCCCCTCCAGCGAGAGTCTCCACATTGGCCATCTTGTGCCCTTCATATTCACCAAATATCTTCAGGTGCAGAAAATGCAAACCCTGAGAACTCCGACTCTTTCCCAACACGCGGCGTTACTGGCGCCTTCTCCTTGCGGCTTCGTCAAAAAAACATCTTGCTGTTGAGTTTCGCTGTCCTCACCAAACAATTCGACGCCTTTGGTAGAAAGGGTGTGCGTGCTTGTTTGTGTGCTTGTTTGTGTTTGTGACTTAGGACGCCTTCGATGTGCCTCTCGTCATCCAACTAACGGACGATGAAAAGTTCTTATTCAAAGAGAATCTCGCGTTGGAGCAGACGCAGCGTCTAGCCTTTGAAAACGCAAAAGATATCATTGCCTGTGGCTTCGATGTAAACAAGACCTTTATTTTTGCAAGTACGCCTTGTGCAGCATCGGTCGTTCGCTTCCCTCAGAGAGGACTCCCTGTTTTCCGCCTTATGCGGTTGACTCCTATCTAGAAACTTGGAACCCCTGTTTAGGGTGTACAGTCAACGGGTGTCAGGCCCTATAATGTTTGCGTCCTGCGATGTCTCTGTGGGCTCAAGACACGGATTACATCAAATATTTATATCCAACGATGCTGGAGATCCAGAAGCGAGTCACTTTTAATCAAACACGCGGCATCTTTGGCTTTTCTGGCAGCGACAACATTGGCAAGGTTGCCTTTCCAGCTTGTCAGGCAGCGCCGTCTTTCGCATCTGCTTTTCCATCTCTTTTCGGGACAGGACCCAATGCACGTACTGTCAAGTGTCTTATTCCCCAAGTAAGACATTTAGCATCTCGCCTTCTCTGCTTTTCGCTGCCTTCTAGCCGATTGCACGCTTGCGTGTGTGTAGGTGTGTGGGTGTGAGTGTGTATATGTGCTGTTTTTTGCCCAATCCTTCCTTCTTCACTGTTTTGTTGCTCATCTGCCTGCCTCTGCATTCATCAGGCTATCGATCAAGACCCTTATTTCCGCATGACTCGGGACGTGGCTGTTCGTATGGGTTTGCCAAAGCCTGCTTTGGTTCACTCCAGGTTTATTCCTGCCCTTCAGGGATACAAGACAAAGATGAGCGGCAGTGTGGAAAGCAGCAGCATTTATGTCTCAGATTCCCCTAAGGAAATTGCGGACAAGATCAACAAATTCGCATTTTCAGGTAGCACGCACAATATGCCGCTGCCGTAGATAATTGCGTGGGCACTCCTGCCGCTCTCTCCCAATGGTTCCCTTAGCAATCAAATGTGATCCGCACACTTTTTCCAATGCTGTAGGAATCTTTACTGTTTCGCGGGCTCCAGGGCTTGGGGTTTCGAAATTTTGATGGCGTTTGCGTCATAGGCGGACGCGCGACCATAGAGGAGCAGCGGCAGTTCGGAGCAAATTTGACTGTGGATGTTCCGTACCAGTACCTTACCTTCTTCCTCGAAGACGATGAGGAACTTGCAAGGATTGGTAGGGCTCTGCATACGTGAATAAGCTCATGGCAGCTTGGAGTGACGGGGGTGTTTCTGGGGTGGGGTTGCTCAAATCATCGCAAGGGCAACACGTTCTGCGACTTCGATGAATGTGCACTCTGCTTTCAGGAGAAGCATATAGCTCTGGAAAGATGCTAACGGGAGAAGTTAAGCAGCGGTTAATTAAGCTGCTGCAGGATCTCATCCAGCAGCACCAGGTCAGTTGCTAGACTCTGATCCATGGGACTCATGCGCCTGGCAAAGGCTTATCTTCCCTGAAGTACGGCAATGCCTATATTAGTAGAGACTAAGACACGGATCTGCAGTGCCGTAGATCATAATCGAAGAGTTTTTTATGGGGGTGTGCCTATGCAGGAACGCCGCGCCAAGGTGACTGACGATATGGTCAGGGAGTTTATGAACCCTCACCGCCCGTGCTTTGAGCGCTTCCGTGCGAACTAGAGGCAATGCCAGCCCCTAAACCTGTGCAATAATCTAGCTGATCCGCCGATACAATAGTTTTGGTAGGAAGTGCTAAATGTGAATCCCGCAACTCCCCTTCCTCCTGGCCCCCTCCCCTCCCCTCAGTCACCGTGCTGCTACCTTGCGCATCGCTTCGTCTGTTGCCGCGCCAGCAAGCATGCCAATAGAGAGGGAAGCAGCAGCACGGACACTACCTGCAGACGCAGGGGCTGCTGCTGTGGACTCCTAGCTTTACGAGTTTCTGCAACCCGTTGGCGCCGCTTGAGGGCCTTCGTTTGCCACGGAAACTTAAGGGCTCACGAGGGAGCTTGTTATCAAGAAGGCAGCAATTCATTGCGCTGCTGCAGACGGAGCGAATTATCGAAACCCCCTGAGGTCTTGTAGGTATTGAATAAGTGTGCACATAGTCGTTTGCCGATCCCCCGTGAAGGACTTGCTACTACAGTTGACAAGCCGGACTCGACATTGAAAGCTATATACCTGAGTTCGCACGAATTCTACGCCAATGACCTCCACGATGAACCTGTTGGTTCAATAAAATGGCTCCTTTTCCAGAAGAACACAGAGCGAAAGCGAGCTGCTAGAAGAATACAGGGAATCCAATGCGAAGGTTGAGGGAGGAACCCCCTGTTGATTTCCTCCTCGATTTCCGGCCTAAGCGCAGCACGCCTACGAAGCGACTGGCTGCAGCGGAGTCTCTGTCTGCATACTCGAAATCGCCTTGCTCCCACGCTTGCTTGGCAAGCGTCCTCGCGACAGCCTCCTCCATCAGGCGTGTCCTGAGGTGACCTCTAAAAGCGTTTGCTGAAGATCTTTGTTTTCTTCTTCGTTCATGAGCCATCGGCGCACAAGGGCGAACAATGCAGCGGACGAGGGTGCTTCCCCCAGTCTGTTTGCGAAATCAGGATCAAAACAGCAGCACAAAAGAAATGCGTTCATACACTGTGGTATCCTAAAGCCGTCCCTCCGGAGGCCGCCCCCGCTTTCCCCCCCTCCCCGCCCCCCGTTCCCCCATCAGTCCACGCCACTCTCCCTTGCCTTGCACCCCATTCAATAGCTGCATGTGAACGTTCGACTCAAACGTGAGGTCCATGATCTATTTATAGTTATTTTTCCCTACTCTGGCATGGCCGCAACAGGCGAGAAGGCGCAAACTGCGCCTTTCCTCAAGTACAGGATGTGGGTAGCCCATCCACAGAGTCCATCGAAGACGTGCGTGGAATACACGACACAGGAGCCTACGGCGCGAGACTCTGCCAGCAGAAACCTGCGTCCACGCACATCTATCCCCAGAAGACAGGCAAGGTGACGCCTTCTGCCCCGAATACAACGGGAGTTGCACAAAAGACACTGCGCTCGACTTGAACTTGCCCTCACGCCTGGCGCGTGGGGAAAAGTCTCCGACTTTCGCGGGTCCAAGGCAGGCAGGAATACAGAGGAATGTGCGTGAACTGTACCTGCACAGCATCTCACGCGAGACAACATCCAGTTCCCCCGTAGGTTCATCAAGGAGATACACGCGCCTTCGCTCAGCTAAGGACGCAACTAACTGCGCCCTCCGCCTCTCCCCTGCCGAAACGAACCCCATTCGCCAAGCCGGATCGACCTGCACACCCCACCATCACCACCACACACCGTCACCATCACCACCAAACATCCCCACCATCACCACCACACACACCCCAAAATGCCTCAAGGTGTGCCATTTTTTCCCAAGCCGCAGGCGCATGCGAGACCTCAACGCCGTGCGAATGAGTAGGATAACTGGAAGGGGAGGAGATGGAAGCAGGCCTCTTGAAACACCGGAGAAAGCGGAAAAGGCGAGAACAACCGAGGCGGCATGAAGTATATTATGCAACAGGGACAGAGAGGCACAGAGAAAAACAAAGAAAGAGAGAGAGGAAGGGCAACGAAGAGGGGGGAGCTGAAAGCTTCCATTTCAATATCGCCCCAGGAGAACACACATACAGAAAAAGGGAATGCAGAGAAGCGCATCGAGATGACAGCGTCTGTGTGTAGGGGGATAGAGAGGCAGCAGTGCAAGGGGTGGGAGAGAGGGCTCTACCAAGGAAAAAAAGGCAGACTAGTGTCGGCCGTACTTGCAGGAGCCGCAGTAGGACTGCAATCCTCCAGGCTGTACAAAGAAACCGTTTTCCACAAGAGCATGTTGGAGGGGATCCTCTGTGCGCTTTGGAGCCAGCCTCCCAGCATGAGGAGTGCCTTAGAGAAGGCGCCAAGATCTCCTCTAACCTGACTTCCATGACATAGTCTGCATCGCACAAGTCAGATCTTACGTGATAGGGTTGGGGGTGTTGCAGCGCTTACCGAAGGCACAGGTACACGCAGCCGGATAGGCCCATACGCGCAAGGTGCATGCATGCATGCATGCCCCTTGAGAAGAATGCGGCTTCAGCAATGTTTACCTCCTGTCCACCAGGTGTTCAGACAGCACACCTCATTTGCAAGGGAGGAGTCATCAAAGGCGCGCCTCCCGAAAATGAGGAGTTCGCCCGTTTGCGTCATCTGCATGCAAGCATACGCGAACAAAGCCCCTAAGTCCTCTGAAACGCGCAAGAAAAGGCCGGAGAGACTTGCAAAGGAGGCGGCGACAACGCGCAGGAGCCACTCGATGTGCGACCTAGGTGGGGAATGAGCGGCGAGGAAAAGAACGTCTAAAGAGAGAGAAAGCGAGCTGCTTACCATTTGACCGCCCATGAGAGCAAGCAGCGTCGACTTGCCTGCGCCATTGCTGCCAACGAGGAGGACTCTGGCTCCAACGGGGATCTCGAGGGTGATGTTTTGAAGACAGAAGGGCTGAGCGTGAGCCGTTTCGCCCAAGAGGCTGCCTGCCTCTCCCTTGCGGCGCTTCGGCTGCTGCGATGCCGCCACTTCAAGAGCATCCGACAGAAGCGTCGAAGGCGCGCAGCTAGGAACGTTCAAGACGCCCTTCCTGGGCGTGCTGTATGCATGGTACAGAGCCGCGCATCGGATGGCCGTCTCCATGGGTATCGAGGGGGGCACATAGGAAATTTTTGTGAGTCTGCGACGATGTTTCGGGCAATCCAGGACCGTTTGAGCATGTTTTACTCATCTTTGAAGAGTGGAGCTCAGGAAGCCAAGGGTTTGCGTGCAGCGAGTGTATGCGCTTCCGCCGCTGGCTCCCCCGCGCGCAGGCCCCTCCGTTCCGACGCCTCTCCACTCGCCTACGCCCTTTCTCGGGCACGCCTCTAAGGAAACAGAGAGACTGCAAATACAGCGAAGTAGAATTCCTATTGCTGCGCATTCAAACGCACACGACAGTGCAATCCGCAGTGCGTCGGAAGGAAGACTCATCGGGGCTGCATCGCCCGCCGGCTGGGGGGTAGCGGCCGAGGGGGGGAAAGGAGGGGCCTTCGCGATGCTGGCAGACGGCGGAAAAGAAGTCATATAAACGCACTTGCCACAAGGTGATGGGTTCGTGCAGCTTGAAAATCCAGACTTTCCCTTTTTTTTCGTCTGGCGCAGGCCAAAACGCCCCCTTCGCGCGCCTTCTTCCCCGCTGTTTCGCACGGATTCTACGGTCTCGGTTCTGGTGTTTCTCTCCACCCTGCAGCGTGCTGTCTGTACACCTCTCTCTTTCTTCCGAGCGCCAAGATGACGGAAGACACGCCAGCAGGCCATCCTTCGCCGTGCAACTTTTCTGCAGCCCCCCCCTCGCAGCAGCAGCAGGCGAACGTCTACTGCGTTGGCATTGATTTGGGGAGCAGCAGCAGCGTCGTGGCATGCGCAAGCCCCTCCAATCCTCAGAGTGTCAGCATAGAAGTCAACCGACTTGCAAACAGAGCGACACCGAGCGCCGTGGCCTTTGATGGCATTACCAGGTAGAATCTTGCTTCATGCAAACTTGTTGTGACAGAGTCACTCTGCACATGCCGTTCGCGGCTTCGCGAGAGATCTTCCCACCGTGCAGAGCAGCGCAGCTCCTGGCAGAGCCGCTTCCTCGTTTCCAGCGCGACTGCACCCCCCCTCGCCTCTGGAATTCTCACCTCCGGGAGCTAAGGGCCTTCCAACGCACACTGGCGATCTCTCAAGAGACATGCCCGTTGCTAATTTCAGCCTGAGTGTGTGTGTGTCTCTCTCTCTCTATCACTCTCTGTATGTGTGTCTCTCTCTCTCTATCACTCTCTGTATGTGTGTGTCTCTCTCTCTCTCTATCACTCTCTGTATGTGTGTGTCTCTCTCTCTCTCTATCACTCTCTGTATGTGTGTCTCTCTCTCTCTATCACTCTCTGTATGTGTGGCTCTCTCTCTCCATCACTCTCTGGGTGTGTGGCTCTCTCTCTCTCTATCACTCTCTGTATGTGTGTCTCTCTCTCTCTATCACTCTCTGTATGTGTGTCTCTCTCTCTCTATCACTCTCTGTATGTGTGGCTCTCTCTCTCCATCACTCTCTGGGTGTGTGTCTCTGCGTGCTGCTTCCCGCAAAGCGCTGCAAGCGCACATCCATCGGACCCTCGCCCCTTACTTTGCGATTTCACGACGAATGCAAAGGCTGTGTGGTTGCTTTTGTGTTGGCAGGGCAGTTGGCGAGGAGGCTGAATCGCGTCAGTTTTCGCTTGTTGGAGGCTGCCTGCAAAACTTGGCTGGCTGGCTATCCATACGCTCACTTGCCGACGCAGAGGCCTTCTTCAACAGATTCTCCTTCTTGTTGAAGCCTCAAGTCGAGGAGACACCCCAAGGGCTTGCAATTGTAATCCCATGCGCAGATGGGGAAACAAAGCGGGTATGATCCTCATCTTTTTCACGCCTCTTACGCCAAATTTGACAGGGAAATGCCGTATGTAGCAGAAGCGTCTCTTTCTCTCTCTTTCTCTCTCTCTCTGTATTTCTCTCTTTCTCTCTCTCTTTTTGTCTCTTTCTTTCTCTCTTTGTCTCTCTTTCTTTCTCTCTCTTTTTCTACTAAGGACGAGGGGTAGTTGCGACGTGCCTTTTGGGGTACGTCTAGGATCGTTGTGTGGGGATGCAGTGCGGCTATTTCTAGTTCTTTCTTTTTTCCTGTATCTCTATCTCTCTCTCTGTCTGTGTGTGTGTGTGTATTATTTCGTGGCATGCGTCCAGCTTCCCATAACTCTTGCCATTGGTCACTTTGTCAAGACTTTGATTTCGTTCGCCGAGGCAGGGCGTTCCAGCGGTTTGTCTGCAGCGAGAACAAACTTGCAGGGAGCAAGGAAGCCAGCAGCCTTGACCATTGCGCTTCCTTGCAGCCACGTCGAGGCTGCAACAGAGCAGCTGCTGCTTGCTGCCGCAGCGACAGGGGTTCATGAGGGCGTGACTGTGTCTGTTCTCACTCGCGCTGCTGCCCTCGTGAACTGCTGGTGCGCTCGCCACTTGCCGGGAGCTTTCCTAGATCTCCAGCAGCAGGAGCAGCTGCCAGAGGCGCAGCAGCTGCATATAGGCATTGTAGATGTCGGCTTTGCAGAGTGCGTGGTTCAAATCTTCCGTCTGGAAAAGAATGGAGACGATGAGATTCACCCCACAGTCCTCGCCGTGGAGTACAACGGGAATCTAGGAGTCGCTGAGGCAGGCAGTTGTTTGATTGGGCTGGTGTTTCGCTGGGCATAGAGGCTGCTTTTCTGTCGATGATGAAAGCGCTGCTGCTGAAACTCCTGCAGCGACAGAGTCTCTCGCTGCCCCTGTGCCGCTGCATCTACCTGCAGGCAATCACAGTGGTGGCGGAAGATGTGGCTGCAGAGGTGAAGCGTCTGTACCGCCAGGATGTGCAAAAACACTCAAAGAAGTCTGCGCGTCTTTTTGCTGCGGTATGGCTCCAAGCGCGACTGCATACACACACACACACATTTTTATATGTACATAAATATATGTATATGTGCGTATATATATATGTATACACATGAGTATATTTAGATACATATATGCACATGCATATATGTATTTGTATACGTATCTACAAACACACTCCTTTTAAAAGCTCTTGCTGCCTGTTCTCTCGACAGGGGGAATCTGCGTCTCACGCATGGCATACAGGGCATGCATGCATCTATGCATGCATGCACTGTATGCCTCTCTGTCTGTCTGAATGCTCCTTGGAAAGAAATGTTTGTGCTGCTGCCGGTAGAGGCGAGGAGCGAGGGAAGGGGAAAAGCGACGCTTCATGGGGGAGACCTCCTGGCGCCTCTGATTGGCGAGTTGCAAGGCGACTCCGCTGCTGCTGTTTTTTTTGCGTGTGCCGCTGCTGTTGCTGTTGCTGTTGCTGCAGTGCGCGCGTGCAGTTACCCACTTGAGCGGCTTGCCGGATTCATCTATCGACATCGAGGGATTTCTGGAAGACGAGAAAGACCTTCACGTGACACTGACGCGCAAGCACTTTGAAAGCCTTTGCGCGCCTCTCAGGGTGAGGTTCGAGAATCCGTCGCTCCCCATGCGGATAGGCTTGCCATTACGGCATCTGCGGATGCAATAAGGGCATGCATGCATGTATGTGTTTGGTGTTTTGGGGGGGGAGGGAGGGAGGCGAGGGAAGGGAGGGAAAGGGGTAGGGGGAAGAGCGTCGGGGAGTGACCTGTGCTTCGAATTATACTGTAGCCGTTCTGCTTCTGCGGAGGAGCTTTTCACGAGCACTTTTCTGTCGTGATTCTTGCGTTTTTGCCCGCTTACGAGCCGCCGTCCGCCTTTCCCAGCCTGGCGACTGTATTCTTCTTGGCGCATGTATGTGCGCCAAGTCGCTGTCTGTGCGCATTGTGTCACCTCTTTCGAAGCCGCGCTGGCTTTCGTGCTTCTTTTCGGCCTTTCTGCCTGAGCTGTAGTACCCCCTTCGCATGAATACATCTATCTATTTATGTGTGTACCCGCTTTGGAAATCTGTCTTTTGCACGACAGCGGCAGAAAACCGCAGCGGTACTGCTCTCGAACGCGCAGAAGTGTAGGATAGCGCCTCTCTCTGGATGCGGTCTGCGATTGATGGCAGTCTCTCGCTCGAATCCTGTCCCCCGAGTCTGTGCTTGCCTGAGGTGGTTTACGGTTGCGTTGTACGTTCCTCCGGATGCAGGCGTCTCTCAGCGCCACCATTGCTGCGGCACTGAAGCAGTGCGACCTTTCTCCGGATGCAGTCGTGGCTGTGGATGTTGTGGGGGGAGGCTCCCGCATCCCCTGGGTTGCTGCGGTCGTCAACAAGGCCTTTTCAGGGGAGGAGCAGCAGGAGGAGCAGCAGCAGGAGCAGCAGGAGCAGCAGCAGGAGCAGCAGCAGCAGGAGCAGCAGCAGAAGAAGAAGCTAAGACGGACGTTGGATGGTGCCAGTTCGGTAGCTATGGGGGCAGCGAGCTTTGCCGCAGGCCTAACGTTCGTCTCCCCCGTAATTGATGCCGAGGAGATCCTCAGAAATATCCAAGGAGAGCTTCTGAAGGTTCGAAACGTCCCCTGTCAACGCATGGCATAGGGAGGGTTGAGTGTTACGCGTGGGCAGGCAGCTTGCTGCGGCGTAGAATTCCACGCAGCGAGTTGTTATTTGCGTGTTTCATCGAGGCGCGAACGCAGCTAGCCAGCTAGCGGGGTGATGATGTCTTCTTCGCCTGGACGCACGCTGGTCTTCTTGCGCTTTCGCGCTGTTGTGAGTGAGGGCTGCTTTCTTGAATGCCAGGGAGCTCTCGCGGTGGGAAGAAGTGTCTGTCTCTCATCTGTCTGTGTATCATCTGTGTGTCTGTCATCTGTCTGTCATCTGTGTGTCTGTCTGTCATCTGTGTGTCTGTCTGTCATCTGTCTGTCTGTCTGTCATCTGTCTGTCTGTCTGTCATCTGTCTGTCTGTCTGTCTGTCATCTGTCTGTGTGCAGACTCTTCAAGAGGACGACAGCAAACTAGGAGCCATAGAGGCTGCGGAAGTGCGGCGACTCGAGAAAAGAAACATCCTCGAGGCGTATCTGCTGGAAATCCAAGCCGCAGCGCGAGGACCCCAAGGGGCCCCCCTAAACAAACCTCACATCAAGGAGATGCTGAAGCAGAAGGAGCACTGGCTTTTGGATAACGACTGCGCAACGGCAGACGCGTACGGCGAGGCGTTGCAGCAAGTCAAAGACACCCTCGAGAAGGACTGCAGCGAATACTTCGCCGCAGTCGAAGCGGAGAGGCAGCAGAAGGACAGAGAGCTCGAGTCGCATGCCGCCGCTGCAGGAGGAGCTGACGCAAAAGAAGACATGGACGTGAAACTCCCCAATTCTCAGTGCATCAAGAGAGCGAAGAAAAACAAGGACGAGGCAAACGAGCTTTTTAAAGGTTCGTCCTGGCTGGCGCGTCAACGCTAAACTCCCACCTCGCGTCTTTGATTTTTCCCCATTTCCCAGTGCTTACACAACTGACGACTGGCAGGTGCACAGGTGATCACGAACGCGCGTGGGGTACCATTATTATCGATTTTTCTACGTTTATCATAATAGAAAGCCCTCGCGACAGCTCCCTTGCGAACGGGCAGCTGAGGGTTTGGGATTTTCGATTGCGAGGGATATGTGCGATGCATGCGGCCAAGCACCCACAGTGCGCGCATATTACATGCACAGAGACACAGACACAGACACACAGACACAGATACACACACAGACACACACACACCAACCCACACACACACACACAGACACACACACACCAACCCACACACACACACACAGACACACACACAGACACACACACAGACACACACACACACGCAAAGACACACACACAGACACACCGGCACACACACAGACACAGACACAGACACACAGACACACCGACACACACACAGACACACCGACACACACACAGACACACAGACACACCGACACACACACACAGACACACACCGACACACACACACCAACCCATACACACACACATACATACATACATACATTTGCTGCCGCAGATGGAAATACCGAGTTGGCCGTTCAGCGCTATGTCAAGGGCTTACAGTATCTGGCCAAGGTTTTTGATTTGTCTCCGCAAGAGAAGGAAGAAACAGAAGCCATTCGGCTGTCGCTCCACCTAAACCTGGCTCAAGCATATCTGCGGCTCACTGGCCAGAACCCGAAGGCCCCTCAATACGAGGCTTTTGCCAAAAAGGCACTCGCCAGTTGCGACGCCGCACTTGAGCAAGAGTAAGTCTTTCGGCTGGATTGAAGGTTCGGAAAGCTTGCTGGAGGAGGTGCTAGGTCCAATGCACACGCTTCGCTTCCCTCCTTGTAGAGGGCTGCTGGGGCACAGAGAGACGGGTGCTGCGAAGAGGAGTTCGGGGGTGGGTGGTCGTGATGACGTTGTGTGCAGCCCGCAATGCGTGAAGGCCATGTACCGTCGTGCCGTAGCAAATGAACGGCTCAAGGAATACACAGTCGCCATGGTAAGCCTCTGAGGGTCTGTCGCTTGAGGCGTATAGCGGTTTCAAAGTTTTGAGTCTTTAAACTTAGGCGTCATGATTTGTCTGGGTGGGGTTGTGCATGCACAGGCAGACGTGAAAAAGGCGCTGAAACTGCTTCCCGAGGACGCCGACTTTTTGAAGGTAAGAGGGTGGGGAGCTGGTTTCGAGGGTTCGCTTTGGTGCATTGCTGGCTGTTGAGGGTTTGGGAAATAGTGCTGTTTGCGTGGCTGTGCAGCTGAAGGATCGGCTAGAGGCACGAATCAAGGCGGAAAAGGAGCAGCAAAAGAAGGTGTACTCTAGGATGTTTGGATAGGCCAAAGAAGCCCTCTCAGAAAGGGTTTGGCACAGTGGCAAACGGACTGGATACGAACAGAGATTGACTTTAGTTGCAGTGTTTGCATTTAGCGGTTACGGGTAATAGCCCTTAGAAATCTAGAAGCCACCTAGAGAGTCTGCCCGAATAGTCGGTGGAGAGCAGCTACGAACCAAGCGAACTCTGAAAGGTGGGCAACTAGAGTCCCCACATGCAGACAGATACACAGTTAGGCGGACAGCCAGCGCTGTCATTGAAAATGACGGAACGTGCGGTGTCGTCGCTGCAACGACAGCAGACTGTAGCAGGGTGAACTGCCTCTTGGGATGCTGGTGATGACGCTCGGATGCAGCGCTTGCTTCCACTTCACATTCCAGCTGGACACGACTTAGGGTAGCCAGCCTGATGGGGTATGGCTAGTGCTAAGTAGCATGCGTAGAGGAGTGCCTCCTTTACTCTTTGAGACTTCCGTCCACAGACTAGCGGACCAGAGGGCATGCAGCCTCGTCCTCCGTTACAATAGTGTTTATTGGTGCAGTGGCCCGTATACATATATATATATATGTATATGTATATATATGTATATGTATATATATGTATATGTATATATATGTATATGTTTGTCCCCTTTAGACGGATCTAAGCCTGTCTATCGTGCCGTACGGTGCTCACGAGTCTTTGCTTCGCCGCACGCAACGAGAAGAGGTAGTAGTGCTGCCTCTGTACCAGTCTATGGCGTGAGTCTCTTCAGCGGATGTGGTAGTCCCTCCCCTAGCGGCTGCCCTTGCTGGTTGAGGCTGGCGTCCTTTGGCTTACGGTGAGGCCTCCTGGCAACAGTGCTTGCCGTAAAGCTCTGGCGCTTATGGAGACGATGGAGCCTCGCTGCCTGCCCTGATCGTAACAGCAGTGCACCCTTGTGCCTGCAGAGGGTTCCTTTAGAGGGGGTGGGCTTGCTCATGACAAACCCCTTCTTTGAATTCTCGAATGCAAGGTTTGACAGGGTCCCCTCGAACAGCTACTTTCCCCGATCTCCTCGATATTGCGGCATTTGGGGAGGGGTCGGGACAGGTAGCATCTGAAGGCACTGCCTCGCCCTCGAGCTATGTCAAGCATTTATGCAATCCGAGACGCACACGGCATACTGACGCACTCGGCCTTCACTTTTGTAATCGCGAATTAACGAGCACTCCTTCGCAACATATGACAGATATGAACAGCCAAGCCAGCTTGCCAACTCTCGAATTCCTGTGTGCTATCCACAAGCAGCATGCTCCAAAAGCCCATTTGTAGTACCGTCCTCTGCAGTGAGGCTGCCTCCTCCGTTCCACAGCAGCAGGCACATCTTCTAAAGACAGCCGAACGTAATATACTTTACAAATCTCTCTGGCCGCGGCTTTGCCCTTTTGAGCTGCTCTAGGGTTCGCTGCATAATACGTTTTACAAGGCTAGCACTCGAATGTGACCCCTCCGTAAGCTTCCTCTGCACATGCGCCCTGCTCGGCAGCAACCGCGTCGCTGCACGTACAACACCGTCTTGCGCCACCTTTCGTTTCAGCGGGCGCAGCCTGTCAGGATATAATTTTAATTTTCTGCTGCGATTTTTTTGCCGGTAGCGGGCCAAGCTATACCTGAGTACTTTATGCACCATTAGTCCAGCTTAATCAAGCAATAGGGAAGAATTGATCAATTGGTTCGTCTGTTCGAAGTTCTCATTTCTGCAGAGTAGCGCGAGCTCGATACAAAAAGCAGCAAGCAGCAGGGTTGTAAGCTTGTGAGCTAGAGGCCATGAACAACTGGCGGTGCATGCGCAGTGCGGTTGCAAGGTGCAGATAATACGCGCACGCAAGCGAGCGCCTTCCCCTTCATGTCCGAAAGTCTGCGGTGCTAGGGTGGGGAGAAGAGGGAGCTCTTTTGGGAGGCATTTAACAAGTTTCGATCAGGTGTGTATTGAGGCTTGGCTTGAGCGTCTCCCTGCGTAGACTTTTAAAAAGCCTGGGGCACCCGCGTGGTTTCTCAGAAGCCAGAAAAAGGCGTCACAGCTGCTAAGAAGGGCCCTGCTAAGCTGGTACTGTGTTCTTAGGGGTTCGAGGTAGTGGTGGCAGCGCCGTGTTTAAGTAAGAACCGCTTGGTGCGTGTACAGGTATGGCTGACTTCTCCGCAAGTTGCCTTATCAAATAGCTCTCTTAGCACGATTTGCGGTGCAATTCGTAGGGAGATATATCTAAGCTGGCAAGAGAAACGAAACCAAGACAGCTATACAGTAATGGGCAAGTATGGCTGCATAGTCAAAAGGGCTCTCGAAAGAGCGTTGGCGGCTTGCAAGTTAGCCTTTACGCCTTGAAAGCCATCCACGTACAGCAGAGGTTGCAGCAAATCCCTGCTACTTGCGGCTCGCATCTAGGCGTGCGGGCGAGAGCGCAGGGGGTGGCCTCTTTAATTGAAACCTAAAGCATCTTGAGAGAAGGTATTTCTGCGTGAGTCAGCTTGGCGGATGTTGGTAAAGAGGCCCATTTAAGGAGTCGGTCAGTCACCGACTAACGTTCAGGGGCCACAAAAATTTCAGAACGCCTGGAGCTGTGGGTGGGTGAAATAGCGGCAGAGTTAAGGCGGAGAAAACGTGTTTTCGAGCCTTTGAAATGGGGGCGTTTATCTGCGTGGCCTTATTTGGCAGTCATAATTGAGGCGCTCGGCTTTTGGCAACTACAAGGCCAGCCGTTATTGCAGTGGGCAGTCAATGGTCTTAGGGGGACCCCTGAAGCTATGTTACACAGGCGAAGAACACCATCCTCCTACCCTCAGATCCTCTCGCAAACCCGAGCCTTCTATGGAGCTTCAGAAAGGCAACTTAAAGGGAATGTGCCGAGCTAAAATCCTGAACTACATCATGAGCGAAACTCGACACAGTGACTTAATCAGGTAGCCAACCCCCCAACAAACCACTAACACCTGTTAAGCATTGACCCCTTGGGGACCTTCTTCCAGTGAGAAAGACTGGCCTTCCTTGATTCTAGACGGTCGAAGCTACTTTTTTTGGAGAAACACCCCGCGATTACAGTGTATTTTCTTTCCACAGTGCGGGCGGTTGCCCGATATTCCGTTCCGCCACCCCACAGTCCTGGATTGCAGGTTCTCCGTTCGATGTGCCCGTACAGTTTTCTTTTTTTTTATTACCCAAAAACACCGTCGCACGTGTGTTTTCGCTCTCAGGATGGTTTTATAGGCCGCCCCTCTGCACTGTCTATCCAGCACAGCGACGGGCGTCGGGGTCGAGCGAGGGTTCTGTGAATTGAGAAGCCGCAGAACCTGAAATTCCGCAGGCTCTAGAGCACCATCTGCATTTTCCGCCATTTGTATTTATATTTTTTATTTGCTCGCAAACACACAGGCCGCAAAAAATGCCGTGGAGTATGCGCCTGGCCCGCGCCCGCAGTGCTGGACTGGTGCTAGCCGGCATCGCTTTCTTCCCAGAAGGCGTACTTCTGCTCAGAGTGCCTCTCGATAGTCAAAGGCACACTGTAGTCTCTCCCCCCGATGGGAGTCATACCGAGTGGTCCCTTGCTGCCCAGGGAGAAGAGAGCCCGTTGTCAGGCCGCTCCAGGCTTAGGGGGGAGCTGCCCCCATCTTCTGCATTTGAATCGCTCGATGACGCACAGCGAAATGACACGCGTGTCAGCGCCTTCGACGCTCGAGGAGACTCTAGCCCCCCAGGAATGCAGGAGGCGGCTGCGGTAGCTTGGGAACCGACAGAGAGCGATTTGCGACTCGCCAGCGCCACTGGGGGAACATCCGCCTCTAGAGCTGCCCTAGATGCCACACAGAAGAACACGATTGAGCAAAGCCTTCTAGCGGCAGCGAATTTAGATGTCGGCGCGGAGGCGTTGAGAGGCCGTACAGACCGATGGACTCCTCAGCAAAACTGGCGAGGGAATAACGGGGAGGGAGGTCATGAAACAAATCACCTCCAAGCGCACCCATCGTCTTCAGTGCACACGTTGTCGTCTTCCATGACTTCTGCCCCGGATGGCCCCATGACACTTGGAGTGTCTGGACAGGTGACACCCATAACTACTCCCACTCCTGCTACTACCACAAACAGCATTCCGACATCCCCGACAGCAGCAACGCCGTCATCGAACGCAGCAGAAGCTGCCTTCGTAAGCACAGACACCGACACGAGCAGCCAAAAAACAAGCTCGTCTTCAGAATGTCGCCCCACTATTGGCAGTGTCACTCTGCAGGCAGACTATCTCGCTGCTGCCTGCGTAGGCACCATTCACCTAAAATATGCTGCAGACGGTTCCTCAAAGTTCAGCGAAAGGAGATTTCTCGTCACAAATACAAGCAACAAGACGGTCTCTGTCTCCATCGGGGTGACACAAGCCTCCCAGTCCTTCCTGAACGAAGAGGAAACAGCCAACATTGCAGAAAGCGACCACTCCCAGAAGGGGATTGCGGCGTCCTCTAGCTCTGCAGATGTCGCCTCCGAGGCAGACGCGCAAGCTGTGCTCCTAGCCAAAGAAGTTGAACGCTTTCGCACCAATAACACTTCCAATGCAGCCTCCCGTCAGTCCTCGTGCCTCACCCCATACACCCTACTGCCCCTTGGCTACAAAAAAAACAGAGGCCACCCGCTTCTCGCGCTGTTGCTGTTTAATAGCCTTCACAAAAGGCCCCTTGCAAGCGTGCGCATGCTGCCTTCTTTGCCTTTAAGCATTTCATCAACTCTTTATCTCACAATTGACTTCTTGACGCGTTCTGCATCACCATGGCATCTCCTCGGGCACCCCGATCCCATCGCTTTTCCCGCCGTCAATGGCGTGCTCCATCCTTTGTGTCTTTTTCGTGTGCTTTTCTGGCTGTCGCAACGCTAGTGCATGCGCGTTGGCGCATGCGTGTTTACGTCTGTCTATAGATATATATTTATCTATAGGTATATATATTTGTACCTATTTGTAAAGGCATGCAGGCTAGCAAACGTGTTACTATTTCCCGCTTCCTTA